TATATCCAAATAATTTTTAGGTGTTAATTGCTTATTTTGTCGTAAACTAACACCTTTCATTTTTTGTGCTATCTTTTTGAAGGAGTCTTCACCAATCATTTCCGTTGAATGATGTATAACACTTAGGACATAAAGCACCATGTTATCACCTGTTTCTCAATTGCTAAACCCAATAACTTCTTCTCATGTGCTTTTTCTTCAGCTTTATTCTTTAATTTAGGTTTAAATTTCTCATCAAAACAGAAGAAATCAAATGGTGCGAATTTGAAAATGTTTTTATCATAAAATTTTTATCGGTTAACAATTGCTTGAAATGCTTGAGTGTTAGGAAGACTTTGATCGCCAGCGATTGCCCAATATGATGAATCAGTATCACCTTCAATGAAATGAAAACGATTAACATTCATGCATTTATACATAAAATCATAAATGAAAACCAAATACCAGTATTTTGCATTATCTAAAGTGAAGAATGCCTCTTGTAAACATGTTTCACATCTATAAAATCTATCTTTAAGCATCACTTGATGATGTATCCTCACCTATTTTCTTATGTTTTTAAACTTATTTGCATACATGCAACGCGTGACTTCTGTGCATTCATAATTTAGTCTTTGCGTAATTTTGTGTATTCATTGCATCGTAACCATATGATCCATTAAGTGAAATCTTGCAAATAAACTTTTTTCCTTTATTTCCTTCTAATTCAGCCTTTTGTCTTTCGTTCATAAATTTGTTCGCAAATTCATTAAAACAAGTGTTTTTCGTAAATGTTAAAATTGATTGAATATCATCATGATAAAATGAAATCTGTCTATTAGATACCAAAGATAATAAGAAGAAAATGGTTGATATTGGTTGTGTGTTGATGCTAACTGAGTTAATTTTCTCTGTTTCTGGTCAACCGTAGATTGTTTGATTTCATGTAATTATACATAAAACCACCAATTGTTTTTTCATCTGTGATAATATCTAAGTTTCTTATTATCGGTAAAAAGTTTATGTAATCATTAATGTATTTTTCATCAATGTGACCCTTTACTTCAGCCACGAATAAAGTATTTTTCTTCTTAATTATTCCCAGTGCTTTTGCTTTCTTTGTTGCTGTATCACAAATGATAACACCATTCAATCTCCCCGGCATATACATTCTATGATCGGTGTATTGAATGAAATCATGAGGATTTGATGAAAATGATGAAGGATATAATGAATTGAAATCAACACCAACGAAATGAGTCATGATGTTGGAAGTGTCCTCATTTGATACTGTTTTAGTTTCTGGATTATATGAAAGTTTATTAATGTGCGTGATTCCTTTAAGATTAACACGATGTTGAACATTTGATAGACCACCAGTAATTCCATTACGGAGGATGTGATACGCTTCCACGAAATCTAAAGTCATTGGTAAATTATTTTTAATGCATAATTTCTTAAATTGATTCTTAAACGTTGAACTTCTTCATCTTTATTTGATTTTACGACATTGCAATAACAACACATTAACTGACAATTTTCTTTAGTATGTGGTTTTTCATTATCAATTCTATCCAATGTTGGTTTATTTGCATATGTAAACGCTTTACCACACATTTTACATTTAGATGAAAGGATTAAATCGTAAAATATTGATAGTCATCCATTGAAACATTATTTTTGGTATCTCTTTTTCACCTTTTCATCTTGTTTCTTATATGATTCAATTTTATATTTCCAATACTTTTTCGTTAATTCAAAACTTGATTCCACATTTTCTTCTTCTGGATATGTTTCGTTAGGATTGAAGTTCTTATATGCTAACGCGTAACGAATCATTGATGCATTAGATGATAATGAAAGATTATGGAGCATGTCAATTTTATAAACAAATGTTTCTTCAATAATTTTATCAATTGGGTCAATCATAATTTCAACGTCTTTATTGCAATAATGAATAAAATATTCTAATTATTCTCAAAATTTTTAGCATCATTGAGATATATTTGATAATCTGAATCGGATATTGTTTCTTGTGTTAATGCTGAATAAAATGAATCTTGAGTGAATGGTTCCTTTTTATATAATTCTTCTTCGTAATTCTCCCATGTGATGAATTGATATGGGAAGAATGATTTAAACGTGATTTATTGTTTCCGAAATCTTGAGTAAATTGGTCTAATGTTCCACCGCTATATAATTTCTGATGTCAATAAATCTCAATTCATATGGCAGTTTGTTTTCTTTACTATGACTTGCTTAAATTGAGAAGAAGAACCCAGCATTGATTTTATCTTCCATTTTGCAGTATTTAAATCACGAAGAATTAAATTTAAATCAAACTTTCCCGAATTAAAACCTATGATATTCACTTTATTGAATTCCTCATCTAGAAGTTCTTTAAATGCATCCTTCTGTTTCTCATTTAATGTATGGGACTTCATTAATTCTTCATATTGTTCAATATTTGATTTAGCAACTAATGAACAGGTTGAAAATAAAAATTCAATCCAATCAGAGATGAACGAATCACTCGAAGTTAAGCAAAAATTCCTCGTAAATGTTTTATCGTTTAATTTAACCGTTGATGATACCATAAATGGTTTTAAGTAAGCGTTCAAAGTTGCACATTCAGAAAGTAGAAGTTCTTCTTTAGTCTCTAATGTTTCGAAGTCAAAAGTAATATAATATCTTGTTGGTTTATAATATTCCTGCAAATTGTGAGCTAATAACCACTGATATATCTTCTGTTTCGTGATATGTGGTGCATATGGTTGTTGTGTGTTTTGCAATTGAACGTCTTGAATTAATCTCCCATTATTTTCTTTACATTTCTCACAATGCTTTAAAAATCTTCTTTGGTTTTTCCTTTCTGGATCATCACGGATAGAATATACTTCTTCTTTGCAAAAGGGGCAAACTTTATATCCTGTGAGTGCTTCAACGTCTGTTATTCTGTCAGCGTGAAGTTTTCCACATGGACTCTGTGTTAATAAAATATTTACTGTTTCAAATTCTGGATCTATCATTATTGAATCCACTAATGGGAAGTCTACCTTGTTAATGTCTACGTCTTCTGGTTGAGGATCACAATAATAGAAATCAATATTAACGTTTAACATTCTTGCTAACCTCTCACTTTCTGATGAAATGTCAAATCCTTCATATGCATCTATGGCTTCATTTAAATAACTTCTACGAGTTTTAGGATTAACACCATCAGGAATGTTATAGAAGCGTTTAAATAACCTTCTACCTTCGGCTCTTATTTGATTATCATTCATTTTAGCTGTTCCATTTTTGTTCATTTATGTAAGAAAAAAAATTAAAAAATAAATAAAAATAAAGTTTATTTTTTAAAGTCCAAGGCACAAAGTGCCCAGGGCTAAAGTCCATAAAATGAATTAAGAACACATAAATTTTTATCATCTGCGACGTGACGAATACATTTTAATTTACTCAAGAATGCGTAACCTGATACATTAAATCTAATTCCTGTCTTATTTAATTTCACAACTTTGAAAAGGAATGTGTGAATAGCTATGAAATGATGACGAGATGATTTATGTGTTGCTTCCATTTTTTCTGAAATAAATGAATAAATATAATGTTTATAAGTTTTCATATCTTTTATGTTCTTAATAACGAATGGAATAGATCTTTCCACTTCATCCTCCTTCGGAGCTGTTCTTTCATATGAAACATCAACGGTATCTTCAACAATGAAACCACAATCGCATAAAATTTTATATGTACCAATTGTTTCTTTTGATATTTTATCTAACAAATCAAAAACTTTTATAACACCTGTACATTTATTTAAATAATAATTTGTGTAAATATCATGGTCTTCTTTCTTAATCGTATTTGTTGCATATGTTACATTTTTCAGTGCTTTTTTGAATTTTTCAGAATCAAGAGGAGGTGAAAGTAATATACATGGATAATCTCCATCGTCAATAAATTGTTATGTTTATGAATAAATTTTGTGCCTTCTTCTGAAAGTGTTTCGTCAATATCACCATCTAATAAATTTTTAGTAGATTCCAAAAAGTAATTTTTATATCTTTCCTCATGTGATTTTTGAACTTCTGATTCTGAAGCTGGGATATTCATTAAACCCTCTACTTCATTCTCAGCATTTCTTAATTCCTTAATTTTTTCATCTATTTCATTTCTTAATTGTTCCAATTTCTCAATCTCATCGTTATAATATTCATCTTGTTTAATTTTTTCTTCAAAATATTCAGGAGGTGTTTCAAGGCTCTCTGAGCCCAGGTCCTCTGGACCATAAAGAGGAATATTCTCATGTTTTTCAACTTTTTTGGGATATAAATATCTCATTATAGCCTTTTTAGTAATTGGTCCGTTATATTTAAATTCATTCAACAATCTGGAAAACTCTTTCACATTCTGCATATATGTTGGATAAGAACCGTCTCCAAAATTTTCTAAAATATTTTCTAATTCTGAATTAGTGAACTTTAAAGATTTCAATGAATTAGTTGTTATACTCATTTATTATAAAATAAAAGATGAAAAATATTTTTGATTAATAAGGAATTAATTTATTATCAAATGCAAAAGCAATGGGTTTAATATTAAACTTACCTTTATAATATAAACTTTCTACATAATCATCGAAATAAACATCTACTTGTTTAATATTTTCAAGAATTGGTGAAAGAGCATCCATTAATTGATTGACGGTTACGAATCTTGATCCACTCATTTATGTAAGAATAAAAAAATAAATTATTTTAAAATTAATGTTAAAAATAATGATACAAAATCGTTCAATATTGTATGAATTCTTACGTTTACAAAAAAAGTCACACAACCCGCCATATATACTACTCAACAAACATCAAAAGGGACCCATAAACGAGATTCATTTCTTTCTAATTGTTGAATGATATATATCGCGCGAAGACACCTTATTATTATAGTATAAAAAAAATTTTTTTAATAATAATTTGAAAATCGAAAAAAAATAAACCATTTATTCTTTTTATTTTTTTTTAAAGGGACTGATTGATTTCATTAACAATTGCGAGTGCCTGTCTCTTGACCATTGCGTAGTTTGTCTTTCTGCGGTCCTCCTCGATGTACTCGATGATGGCAGCGTTCTCGAGAGCTTTCTGTTGAAGGTCTTTCTCCAATTGGTGGAGCTTTGTATGCGTCTCGTTCGTTCTCAATGATGCCCTATTATCATTATATTGTGTGGCGGCAAGGTTTGTTGCCTTCTTTATGTTCTTTAGCTGCAATTTGAGGCTATCGCGTAATTCCATTTTCTGTTTCTTCCTGATTTCGCCTTCCTCGCGGATCGCATCGACATTGTTGAAGCTTGGCATCTCGCGTGTCATCGAATCCATCTGCTTCTGTAATGACTCTTCCTCTTGTTTGATCTTTTGATCGACATTTTGAAGATCTTCGAGCTCGCGACGTCTCTGCTCGACTTCAAGCTGAAGCTGAGTAGCTGTAGCTTGTGCGGCTTTGGTCTGCTGCTCTTTGTAGCTGAGATCTTGCTGTAATTGCTGATAATTTTCGAGAGTTGGAAGCTTATCGATGGTTTCTATATCGCGGGATGTTTCGCTGAGAATATCTACGACACGCTTTTGTGCATTGGCAAGCTCTTGCTGTGCATTTTCGAGATTTTGAGGATAATTTTTGATGAAATTGTTCATATCTTTTTCGCGATTTAATAATGTGAGGTATTTCTTACCACGCTCTGTATTTTGATCTGCTTCACGGGCCTCTAAGTTCTTAATTTGCTGCTGAACGTATTGGAGGCTCTTCTGCTCATCCTGGATCTGCTTATCGATATCACCGATCTTAGATGTAGTATCCTTAACAATTTGGAGAAGTTCTTCGCGAGATTTTCCTGCGAGATTTCCTGTTGTTCCTCTGAGCTTTTGGCATTCAGATTCTAACTGTTCTAACTCAGCAGCCATCTTCTGAAGTTCAGGAGCACCAGATCCGCGCATCATTTCCTGGACTTGCTTCTCTTGGTCTGTAACAATTGCTTCGAGATCTTTTCTCTCACGATAGAGACGATCTGCTTCTTTTTCGAGCTGTGCATTTGATGCTTGTGTATCTTTCAAACTTGCCTGCATTTCATCGTATGAGACTTTACTAGACAGACGATCTGCAAGTACGTTATAATCAGCAAGCTCAGCTTCTTGCGCGTTGATTTGCGTACGTAAGTCTTGGACTTCTTGCTGCAAAGAAACCTGAATTGCTTGACCACGCTTGCGTTCCTCGTTTTCGGCTTCTAATCTTTTGATTTCTTGAACGATATCATTTAATCTTTGACGTAAAATACCGATGTAATATTTGCTGTCGGCAACCTGACGTTGTCCTTTTTGAGTGTGGGCACTCGGGAGACCTTGAGCAATTGTTTGAGGTCTATTTGCTGAAATTGTCTTTGATGGAAACGGCACATCACCACTTATTTTGGACTTTGATGATGGTGGTCTCATGCCTGTTTTATTTGCTGAAGGAAGTCTCTGATAAGATTGTTGCATTAAAAAACTTTAAACGAAAAAAGTGACATAAAAAGTAAAAAAAAAACTATTCATTTAAATATGAAATTGATGATTAATAATGTAGATTAAAAAACAAATTCAGTTATGTTGCAAGCTAAGATGTGCCAACGATTACGTGACTCTCAATTTTTATCGTCGAGGAAGTAAAAAGCGCAGCTTTATTTATTCTCAGTCTTTCTCAAATGTTTTCAGATCTGATTGTACCCAAGTTTTCGAACTTTTTATAGGGAATTAAAGGGTGAGAGATATATAGTCTATCTAAATATCTCCCTGGGAATTCGAAATGCTTGTTTTTGTCCAAATCTGTGTATGCAATTAATCAGAGAATACCTTGAGGTTATTAGGCCAAACAGATGAAATGTATTCGTTATAATTTGTTTACTATGTAGATCTAACTTGTTGTTTTAATCTATTAAACAATATTGAATTAGTTCAAAACTCTATGTTGATGTGTATTGATTGAGCATTTTCATGAAAACAGAATTTGTAATTCATAAATTCAAATTACAATTCGTTTTCAAACATCTATTACTGAACTAAAATCATCTACTTAAACAAACCATATCAAAATTTAATTCGGATTTAATTTAATATATCAAAAATTACAGCATACGAATTCATAAGTTCCGGGCTATCTTTCATATAAATTACAGAAGTGAAGTTCAACTCCTTCATGTCAAAACCAATCTCCCAGGAGTCTATTGTTATGATCGCAACGATTTATTTTTATTTTTCGGAAAAAATGTTTCTTCCCTATTGAAGTTATTGGTATTGCACAATATTTATTTGTATGTTTGTATGTTTTACGCTGATAGATGAATTTTGCTTTTACAATTATGATTTGAGTCGTAAGAACGTTTAATTCAAAATCATAATTGAATATCTTAATTTTACAGAAGATAATGCTGAATCATAACGACCCAATCTCAATCATAGTGACCTCACAATTTTGAGACTCTATTGATTTTTTTAATACATACATAAAATAATTATTTGCTCCCTATCTTATATATAACACAAATTCCCAAAACTTTATTTATTTTTCATCAATTTTGAAAATTTTACAAAAAAATTGAAAAGCAAAACAAAATCTGTTTCATTTTTCAAAAATGTTTTGCTTTTTATCCTTCTTCACTGCTAGTATTCGAAACAAAAGAATGAAGCTTGAAAGAAGTAGATTTGGAAATTGCACATATCTGGATCAAGACTATTTAGATACGGTTGATCTCTATGGATTGACAATTAAAGCTGGTGAATGCTATGAATTAATGTTCTATTCATATGCTGCTGCTGGTGATTCAGATTTTGAAGTTGATTTATACAAATTAACGGGAACTCAAACGCCATATAAAACTGTAAAGAATCCAATATACATAAATAATCCATATATGGTACTTTTAGAGGAAGAAAATGAACCTGATGCTGCATTTTGGGCAAGTGTTAGATGCGCTGACAAAGATAAAGAATGCAAAGTCCAATTTATCCCTCAAGTATATATATCTTATTTAGCGGAAGAAAAAGATTATAACGCTGAAATATATCTTACTTCCGCCAAGAGCGGCAAAATAGAAAAAAGCGCTAAGAATTCAACAATTGTTGAATTTTTCATATCGAAGAACACATATAAAATTGTTAGTGAGCCAAAAGATAAGGTGAATTTTTATAAATTCGATAGGTATGCAGTTCAAGATACACCAATTGAAAACAATGAAATCGAATTCACTGGTTTTGCTACAACATATGGCAGACCGAAATCAGAAGAGGAAATGGTTTTAACATTTACTTACGAAACTACAAAAGAAGGCGATAAGCTATTGTTCCCTGAGGTTACTGGCTGGATTCCTCAAAGGGCCGATGCTTTCACAATTGATGATCTCAAAAATGAAGATTCTTCTAAGGATGAGGAACCTTCCAAGAAGAAGCTATCAGGTGGTGCAATTGCAGGTATTGTAATTGCATGTGTTGTTGTTGGAGCTGTTGTTGGTGTTCTTGTATGGTTCTTTGTTTGCAAGGGATCTTCCAAAGTTGCCCCAGCTCCTTAAATACGTAAAAAAACATTAACTGCTATTTATTTAATCTATAGGGTGTCCAAAGGTGCGTTTAGCACAGCGCTCTATATGAGACTATTAAAGGAGATATATGCTGATTATAAATATATAATAAAAAATATGAATATATGTATATGATGAGTATGTTGTATTTTGGCGCCATGCCGGGATATAAAATGAATTTTGAGACAAGAGGCGGTTTCGCGGGAAATTTTGGCGGGATTTTTTTTCATTTTTTTAATGAATCATAAAGAAAACATCCTCGCTCTTGCAAAAAAATGCAAAGACTGTAAAAAAATCTACGAGACATTGGTAAAATGCTTCGGTATGGATGCTCCTAGCTATTCCACTGTAAGGTATCATGTTAGGATGTATCACTTCATGAACAAAAAGGCGCCCATCATAAAAATTGACAAAAAATCGCCGGATCAAAGAAAAATCAAAGCAATTCTTCAAGCGCTAGATGAAGACCCAAGAGCATCACTCAGAAGGATAGAGGAGATGACAAAGATACCACGTACAACAGTCAGTTATTATCTGCACAATTATTTGAACTACAAACTAGCGTATACACGTTGGGTTCCGCACAACCTTAATTCAGTTCAAAAAAAATCTAGAGTCCAATCTTCGAAAGAGCTCCTCTCTATATTGGGTGCGTATCAATCCAAGAAGTTTCGCTTTTTAGTAACAGGGGACGAGTCTTGGTTTCAATATGCAACAGAAGCCAAAATCATGTGGATCCCGAAGGATGAAAATCCGCAAACATTCCCGAAGAAAAAAATTGACACACCAATGATGATGTTGTCGGTTTTTTGGGGCGTGAATGGCATCATCGCAATTGATATTCTTCAAAAACCTAATACGATGAATGCTCAGTATCTAATTGACAATGTTCTTACTCAAATTATCAATTCTGATGAGTTTGAGAAATCCAAACAACAAAAACAAAAGTTTGCAATTCATTTTGATAATTCAAGAGTTCACAAAAGTCATAAGGTAATGAATTACTTGGTGGAAAACAATGTCAAAGTTGTTCCAAACCCAATTTATTCACCTGATATTGCACCCTCTGACTTTTATTTATTCGGCACGCTAAAAAAGAGAGCTGAAGGACGCGAATTCGCGAGTCCAGATGATCTTGAAAATTTTGTAAGAGAGCAATTTGAGCAATTTTCTCATGATGATTTAAAGCGTGTCTTTGAAGCCTGGATCGATCGCTGCGAACGCGTGATTGAATCCAATGGTGATTATATTTAAATAAACTTTATATATATGTAACTTGTTTATTTCTATTCGCAGTATTCAGGTTTGTGCTAAACACACCTTTGGACACCCTATATTAGTCGTTTGACTTTATTAAACATTTTTTTTATTTATTATAAAAGAAACAAAAGATAAAAGAAAACAGAAAGTCAACAATGCGGAGTTCTTTTCCTACAGATGACTTCAGCACCGAATCCTTTCGTAATGAACCTCATTCGTGTTGTTCCATTAGAAAATGATGTTTTTAGGCAGTTCAGACCTTCTCTGATTACATAAGGTATAAAAACAAGTTTTTTGTTATTAATAACAACAGTTAGAGACCACCATATTCAAACCATATTTCTAAAATCATATTATATGAAATTTATGCTATAGAAACTTTTTTCCTTATGATATTTCACAAATCCAGGAAATACAGTATAGATCCTGTTTCAAAACTTAATGAAAGTTAATGATCAAACTAGTTACATCCAAACAAAGCTACCATTATCTAAGTCTACAATCACAAACAAACATATTAAATTGAACAAACAAGAGTGAATAAATATTTATTTTTTCATATTTTTGGGTTAAAATCAAAACAAACAATTAAATTGGTACTTATGTAACAAGACTAATATTTGTCTTGTTGAAAGAAAAAAAAATTAATGATTTTTTTTTTCTTTCAACAAGACAAATAAAAAGATCTGTTAGCTACATAAACATCTTCTTAGTAGCACAGGCGATTACTCCACAAATTGGGCACTTCTTTCCTTCAGCGGCCGACAATCCGCATTCATGGCAGCAGCATTGGTGTCCGCAGGGCATGAACACTAATTCCGGTGCCGCATCCATGCATATTACGCATCTGTCGGTCTTAAATCTCTTTGAAGTCCTTCCGGATATTCCACAAACGGGGCATTTGTCGCATTCAGTGCTACAAAGGTGCCCGCATGGTATAAATATCAAAGGAAGGTCTTGGTAACCATTTGGAGGGACGTAATCAATGTTTTCTTCAGGAATTTGATATTCGCCATTGGAATACTTGAAAACTCCGTTCTTTCGCTGGATTTCGAAGTTTTCTGACTCTGTATCAATGATTTCAGCACCAAGAATGCACTTTTCTTGCTGTCTTGGCGAATGATAAAGAAAAACTTGGGAACAATTGGAGGAAACGAGTTCTGTGATGGGAGTATTGATAAGTAATGGCTTGGAGAAGTCGCCGCAACGAACAACACTGTTAACTACCTGGTTATTTTTGAATATTGGATTACAACCATCGGTAATTCCAATTTCTGAGTTCAGAAACTGGTTGTTCGTAATTATCTGAGGACAGTATTTGCCTATAACAAGGAAAATACAGTTCTTAAAGGAAGTTTTGTTCAAAACTACGTAACTTCGGTTTACTATGAGCGCTCGCGAGCAATTATCGAAGGAACTACCCTCAATGTATGCATTGGAACCCTTAGAAAGGGTAATTCCGATGGTTGGTATATCTTTGAATTCAGAATTTGTAATTTTGACAACGGTTTGGTCACAGGAGCATAGTACTCCATTCTGGCACTCGGAAAACTTGCTGTCAGAGAGGGAAATCATTGATTCTGTACAGGCCGCGATTGCTTTTCCGGGAATTTGAGCGAAAGTACATGAATTAAATGAACCGTTCGATTTCTTTGTAATGAGAACTGAATATTTAGTGGCATCTTGGAATTGGCAGTTGTAAAATTTTACACCTGTTTCATTTGAAAGGACTAAAGAGGTCACGGGGGCTTTTAAGAACGAGCAATTATTAAACGTAATATTATTAGGGCCATTAGACGTAATAGAACTTTGATTGCCTCCATAGAAATTACAATTTGTAAATTCACAAACGGCGTTGGGCGAAATTTCTATGATTGCATCTTGCTTTTCGCAAGAGCAATTAAAATTGCAATTTGTGGCATAAAATTTTGATCCTGTAGAAACAATTATGTTTCCAGAAAAATTAACGTCCGTAAATTTCACCTCAGTACTTACTATATTCATTGTCTTAATCCGTGTGATTTTTGAGTCCATACCAAACCCGTTTAAAGTTAATGTAGTTCGAATAAATATTTCTGAGTCGACTTTTGTTCCTGGAAGAAGCTTTACTTCGTGGTTCTTAGTTGGGAACGAAATTTCCGATAATAATTTAGGCAGCTGCTTGCAAAAACCTAAATTAGCAACACACTTGAAATTCATTTTAGAAAAATTCAAATAAACAAATCAAAATCTAAAATTTTTAAATTCAAAAATAATCATAAATTCTTTCTTTGATATTCTGAATCGTCTAGGAGATTAGACCATCTTAGACGATTCAATCAAAAATTAGTCCAAGAAAATTTTCGCCTGAAAATCTATGAATTATACGTATAATAGCATAGCACTATTAATTCGTGAGCTATAGTTAATTTTTAGGGAATATTAAAAATTTTCAATTTGATTTTTGAAGATTATTCAATAATTATAAAATAATAAGGATGTACCAATCTAGTACAATCATTTTTCATCGATGAATTTTAATTATCTTCTAAATTAATTTCAATTCTTTTATAATTATAGATTTCGATCATGAAATTTATAATTAGTAAATTAATTTGATAAAAGTTTACATCTCTTAAATTCTTTCATGCTTTATAATTGTTATCCGCAATTCATTTTTATCATTGTTTTCTACAATGAGTATCACGTGAAAATTCTCTCCTAACAAACTCAGATAATGTTGCTCCAGATTTCAAACACTCAACAATTCGATCCAAATTTGACTATTCATAAAAGATATAAATTTTATGGATGAAGAAGCAGAAATATTCCGTAGAATTGAGTTCTGCAATGAAACGGATCATTGTGAACTGTTTAGAAAGATATGGCATCTTTCTTTCTTTTGACAAATTTTGTTCCGAAAGAACTTGTTTTACACCGCAAATAAAAAAATCATTGGGACTATTATGTATTTTCTAATTCTCAATTATATTACTATATTTTTCCCACTCTCACTTTGATCAGAAAAATGATTTACGATATTCAAAAACTTTCTAACATCCAAAATTTTTCTATTGTAGTTTTTCTTGTTATTGGAAGAATGTTACTCTTTTTTCTTTTGCAATTTTCTCTTATAAGAGCTAATCAAAACAAAGAAGATAAGAAAGAAACAACAAGTAGAAAGAGAGAAGCCATGGTGATTTAGGTGATTTAGTTAATTTATTTTGGCTTTTACTTATCTTGCTATGTCTTCCATTTATAGCATGCTATTTTTTAATAAAGAAATGCAAAAGCTGCTGCTGGCGTTGTTGCTATAAACTTAAATATGGTGACCCTTCAGTTCCTGAGTCATCTGATGAATCTATTCATAGTAACCCCGCTCAAACAAACGCATATGAGCCATATTCCCAACAGCAATCAACAAATGATAATCAAATTCCTCCACAAATATCACCATCTCCTTATTATGTTTCACCAGGCAATCAGCCACAAGATATGCCTTCCCCTTATTACCAACAGCCTGCTTTGCCACCACAACCTTATTCCAATCCAATTCCTCCACAGCCAGCACCAGAACCTTATTACGACAGTCCAGCCAATCCAGTTCCTCCACAACCAGCGCCAGACCCATATTATGATGAGCCAATTTCTCCGCCACAGAAAGAAGAAAATAATCAAGTTTCTAATCAATCAGACAATGCTCAAAATTCACCTCAGGCATCACCAGACTCAGACCCTTACGAATTGTAATTAATTTCTTATAAATTTGTTTGCTAAATTTTTTAAAAATTATCGGTTTCTTTATTTTTAAAATAAAATAACAATAATATTTATGTTTACAATAAAATAATAATAATTCAAAACCAAGGAATTGATTCAACGGGTTTGTCATCAGGAATTGAAGCAGCATCAATCAAACTTAAAACGGTTTCCATCCAATCAACAGCATCCTTTTCTGTTGAACAAGAGATATTTGGTAAAACGAGCTGTCTCGATCTTGCGACCAAATTATCCGAAATTTGTTTCAATTCGGACATTTCGAATATGTTAAACTTCTCAATATAGAATAGGTGTATCATTGGTATCAACAATGGTAGCATATCATTATAAACAGTCATGAAATGCGACATTGAAAAAGCTAATTTTCCTTTGTATCCAGGACCAAGCAAAGAACTGATGTTTGGAGACAATCTGAATGAAGACAACTCAGGTATATCTCTAGACACGTTCGTTATCGATGACGGCAACAAAGAAATTTCTCCACTTTTGAGTAACAAAACAATTTCATTCAAATTCGGATAATTTGTTCCCAAAAGATGTCTCACAGAAGAAGAAGCGGAAACACTCTGTAGCATTGAGTTCCTCATTGCAACGAAATGCATCTTTGTGAATCTCGTTGAAAGATATCTCATTGCTCTTTCTGTCGGCAGATTTTGGATGTTTTCTGGTGTTGCTTCCCATTCTGTCGTTTTTACTCCGACAGCTTCGTAAAACATCGATGTCATGTATTGTGGAGGAGTCATGTAGAAAGTTGCTCTGTAGTTTGGCCCGATATTCATTGATATTGGGGATGTCAACCTCGGAACATTTGTAACATTCAATGGATTTTCTTTTGCCATATTTGCCAAACTTTGAAGAAGGTTTACAGCAACGTTTAAAGCAGTATTTGCTTCAGCTCTTGTTATAGCAATAAATACTTTTCTTGCTTCGAATAACATTGCTTGCAAAACGAACGTATCATCAGAGATTTTCTCAATTTCATGGGTAAATCTTCTGAACTGAATTTTGTCAAAGAAATGTTTCGAAGGCATGAAAGATCTTATTCTTAGATTTACTTGTTGCAAGTGACTTTCTATTTCTTTCTTTGTGTCTTGGTATTGTTTTTCACTTGGCAACAACTCGGCGAGTAAATCTAAAACAGTTCTGTTAGAAACGCTTTCTTTGCATTTCATGGCAAATTCAGTAAAATTGTTACAGAAATTAAACCAATGATGTGTTTTATGGACAGCAACTTCAAACGAACTCGTTGGAACGGAATTAGATATCTTAGGAATATCTATTTTCTCTATTTCATCATCAGGAAGTGCTGCTGTTTCTTGGATCAGTGTTTTCAGCCATTTTTGGTTCATGTAAGTTGTCCAATCCAAACTAAACAAATAATCAACAAAAACTTCTAATTCGTGCAAGAAAGCAATTGATGGTTCTTTGAGATAATCATTGGATCCTTGACGTCTTCTAAATGTATAATATGCATTAAAGAATTCATATGTCTTATAACTATCTTGGATTGAATCTTTCACAGCACTTTTCTCCATCAAAGACAAAATTTGAGGAGCCCAAAACATCAATGAATCTTTCTTTTCATTCACGAGTTCTCCAATCATTTGTGATGCTTGGAAAGCAGCATCATTTAACAGTCTGTCATTTGATCCATATCCCAATCTCAACAAAGAAACAATTTGGCCAGCAGAAACAATAGCATAAGTTGAGTTATTCGATGTAGAAGTGAGTGTTGCCAATGATGCATCAACAGCCGTTTTCAAGAAAACAGGAATTGGAGTATTCATGAATATATGATACGAAGACATCATCCATGCAATCAAATGATGAATGGTTAAATCCCTTTTCATTATTAATGACTGGAAATTAAGAATTGCTGGCTCAATTTTCTCAATAGGAACTGCAATGTCACTGTATTTCATCATTCCCGCAATTTCTTTGAAAATTATCAATGAATAATGTGGCAAAATTAAACATTCGCCGTTGGGAGTAACCCAGGAATTCTGATATACAGTATCGAAGGGGGAAGCACCTAAAATAGAAAGGAATTTAAGGTGTGGCATGTTGGAGATGTAATGGAAAACATTGAATGGAATTCTTTCTGTCAGTTTTCCGTTATTTGCGAAATCTGTTGCAAAAGAGACTAAGAATTGTATGGAAAGAGCACGGGAAGCTTGCCAAGCTGTCATGTAAGGTCTGGATTTGATGTATTGGATGTTCATCTTTCTGATCGATGAAATATCTCCTTTCAATGAATCCCCTGGTTGAACAGTGATGACCCTTGATAATTTCTCGATCTCATCCAACATGATATCAGGAGTTGAATCAGAATTTCTCACCATGTGAGTGACGAAATTAGATTCCGATGAGAAATAAATTGAAAGCTTTTTCAGTTTTTCAATCGATTTCGCGTGTGTCGATGGCAACATTGATAAAATAGCTGTTGCTGTTTGATATGGATTCCTTAAAAAGAAGGCTGCAGCAGCTGCGAGTTCTTCTGTAGGAACTTTTCCAACTAATTTACCAAATAACGCAAGGTTTTGCTCGTGCCAAAGGACAAGATGGTTGTCATCTGTGTTTTCATCGATGTATTCCTCTAATGCCCATTGTAATGGTGCGAATTTCGTAGATTTTCTGACTAATTCGAATGGAAGATTTAATTTCGAATTAGAAAACGCAGTAACAATGGCTTGTATTATGTTTGTGAACTGCCTGGAGCCATTACGTGATTCAAGAGCATGGCAGAGCAGAGTTCTCATTGATTTTACAGTTGTTTCATCCAAAATTTTTGAAAAACAATTCGTGGAAATTTGGATTGAAACATCTTCAAAGAGATTTGAGAGTGCAACAAGGGTGTTCCAGTCGTTATTCACCTTGGAGATCAACAATGACATGAAAGGAAGTGTGCTGTTGCTCCACATCTTGAAAGGAATGATGTCAACCAACAAATTAAACCTAATTTTCTCATCATCACCGAGAATTTGAATGATTTCGTTGGCTGCTTTAACTCTGGTGCTTGGATTAGATGAAATGGCCTGGCAAATAAGGATTCTGACCCTGTTATATGATGTATCAATATTAGTTTCTTCGGAAAACTTCTGCATACCAGTTAAAAGTCTTTCGTAGACATTGATATGATTATTAGTCACGAATTTAGTGATCGCTTTAATCAAATCAAATCTGACTTTCGGATCTACTTTTGAATTCGTGATTATTTTGTGGCTAGCCATGATTAACTGGTTCTGCGCAGTAGATAACATCTTAAAAATGTATTCGTATTGAAATTCAGGTTTGAGACAAACCGCTTTTTCTATCAGAATTGCGATTATATCTGAAATTAATGGGCTATTGTATCTTTTCACGAGTTTTATGAGGGAATCTCGGGCTTCCGTGAGGAATTCGATCTGTGGATGGTTGGACTTGGATACTTCTTCGATAAGGATCCTTGCTTTGATGAAATAAGTCCTACATGGAGCGAATGAAAACAAATAAGTGATAGATTCAATAATTAATTGGAAATATTGGGTTTCTGTGGTTGGTAATCCTAAAATACATGATGCCATGTGTTTAAAGAAATTATCGATTGTCATAATACGATTATTTCTGAGGCTCTCAAAAATTTCTTTGACATATTTGAAATTTTCTGAGATGAGTTTTAATGAACAATATTTCATCATGCAACAGAAGATTACTACTTGGATTGATTCGGGTATTGACTGGTCATTGAGCTGGGAAACTAATTCTCTGACAATGAATTCGGGGAATTCAACGGATTGTGGCTTTTTCATGATAAATTGCAAAAGATTTATCATTACTATGTTGAATTCTTTGTCATTGATCTTAGTTTTCGTTCTCTCTTTATCCTTGATGTAGAATATGATGTAATCAATGATGGTTTGGCTGAAAATAACTTTTTCTTCTTCAGTTAATTCAATATTGATGCAAAATTGGATTCCATGCCAAATACAAAGGTCAAGATTGGCTTGTTTCTCTTTGTATGTCCAGTAATTGTGTGCAGTGTTCGCTGCTGCTGAGAATGGAAGGTATTTCTCGAAAATTGGGAATTCTTTCAATAAAGGAATCGAAAATTTCGTTCCCAATCTGTCTGTTATGAAGATATGGATCGATTCAATGACATCTAATGGGAGGTTGTCGAGAGATTTCTCGTTTGCATGAAGGAATTCGAAAGCGTCGCGCTTGTATGGGTTCTCAATGAGAGCACCGTTGATGAAAATGTGCTTTATGATATCATAGAGTAATCTTGGAGGCATTGTTGACTTTTTTGAGTAAATTGTCAACGCTTTGAAGGTTTCTATGATATTATCTGGGTTGGACTTGGACATTATGGCTGGAATGAACCTTGCGAACATTGGGAATTTGGATAGAACAGGGAAATCTAATTGTAATATTATTCTTACGTTGTGGATTGAAGTGTAATAGAGTTGTTCGTATCCAAACTCCAAGTTCTGGACAAGAATGGTCCAAACCATCTCGTAATTAGCTCCTGGACATGACTTGAGTGAATTTGATAGTAAAATATCCAAAACATTCACGTCATATCTTGATATATTTGTTGAACATTGGAAAATAATGTTTTGGTAAACATTTTGGCTGTTTGCATCCTTCCGACCAAATATAGCGTGCTTGAAAAGTGACGAGATATCGGCGTGACGAAATTCTGAGTAAATGAAGAGTTCTGAGAAAGTGAAGATCTTTTCGGAGTCAAGTTCCTGCTTGATCAAGTCTAAGTATGCTTCTGCGTATACTGACAAGATGACAAATGATAAATCGTTTGTAAAACGAGATTTGGAATAATTATCAAGTAATTTGTGGAAAATTTGGTTCATATCCTTAACAAAGTTGGGATCCTTGGCGAACCTGTCAACTTTGACAAGCGTCTGGAATATTCTGATGAACAAAAACGGAATATTAGAAAGATCATGAGATTGTTGACAGATAGCAATGAATTCCTGCAAGAAAGCGTTCGATTTATCATTGATTATGAAGTATTCCATCAACTGGCTGGCCCTAGGATTAGTAATAAACCGTGGAGTATAAAGATTATTCGTAACTTTGCCGGAAAACCTGACACAGAAGTTTAAGACGGATTTTCCGAACACTGGCCAGAACGGGATTGACGGTGAAGCCATCAAATTCAAAACTGCTGCAATAAATGTGTCAATTTGAATTTGATCTTGGACTCCTGGTATTTCCATCCATTCGTCTGATCCCAAAACCTTGAAGCATCGAACAACCTCGTCGAATGATGGCTTCGGAACCTGTGGATTGTTAGTTGTTGGATCATCATCGGAGAATAACTTGATTTTCATGATCATTCCCTTGATGAACGATGGGTTGCATAGATGAGGAATCGTTCTGATGTAGTAAAAGATCTGGCTTTCAGCGCTAGCCTGTTGTTTGAGATATCCTATTACATTTGTATCGTTAGGGAACCTCAATGATAGGTTATATATAGATCTTGATAGCAACTTCTTGATGAGTTTGTTCTTTGTCTGGTGATAACCAATGAATCTGTGGATAAAATTAATTAAATAAGTTCTTTCAGGGAAAATTAAATCGGCATACGATTGGTGCTCAAGGATAGCATCAATTAACAAAAACGTAAGTATTTGTTTGTCTTTCGGTTCATTTTGCATTTTTGTAAAGTTCTGAATTTCGATCACGACCTCGGTCGGAAGCATTCCCTGTGTACAACCACAGTTTATGATGAGAATTGCGTGGATGAAGAAGGACATGTAATCTCTAGGATTGAGTTCTGAGAAGCTTTCGATTTGGACAGGGACTTTTAGCTTCTTTGTTCGGTGAATAAACATTAATAAGATGTTATTCAGTCTGAAATTGCGGCAATTGTAGATCGCCATGACGTATTCCCTCTTTCCTTCCTCGTCTAAGCCTTGCTCGTATGCTTTGAGGAATTTATTGAATGTTTTGAAGTTCATTTCGTCAACACTTCTCAAATAGAGCTGGAATTCGAGTCTGCGAGGTGGCAAAGCCTTTATGCAGTACTTTGTGATGAATAAGAAAGCACAGCATTTGATTGCAAACCACTTTTCCGAGTAAACCATTTCATATATCTGATCTACAACGGTTTCCATGACAGATACTGGGTATCCGAATGCCTGGCATTTAGCCAGATACCTTTCGATGACCAATTCCATGAACTGGCTCGATTTCGATTCGGTAGATCCGCATGTAATGAAAAGATTGATGAGATACGCCGTAGAATAGCCAGTACAGAATGGCTGGACAAAGAATTCGTTCATTTTGTCCGTAAATGCCAAAACTTTTCCTCTAATTTTGGAAAATTTTGAAATGTAATTTGTAATAAACAGGATTTGTCTTATTGCATCGCTTATTCTCTTAGAGTTCTTCGTGAATTCCTCTTTAATGATCTCAAAAGCGATGTTTAACAGTGCTAATAAGTGTGCAGCCTCTTCATCGTCTTCTTTTACATGTTTGAAGATGGCGGAGAGGAATTTGGAGATATCACAACCAACTGATTCATACGTTACCCCAATTTCTTCGAAGTTTTTCGATTGAATTGGAGATAAAACAGTTGAAGGATGGTTTTGCATGCATTTGAGCATCTCGTACAGGTCATCTGGACTGCATTGGTTCATTACGGAGTACCATTTCGAAATTAAGTTCCTCAGAGAATCTGATTCCAAATCTGACTTCAATTTCTGGGTATTTATGAATTTTGTGATGATAGGAGACACAAGATCGATGAGTTTCTTGTCTCCAGAGGTCAAACACATCTCTATCAATTGGATATGAAATGGAATTAAATTTTGTAGCTTATCAACAGTAAAGAACACGTCCAAGAACCTGTTCTGGATATAAGAAATAGTTCCTTTGAGGTCTTCAATGATTTTGACCAAGAATGCAGAATCCATATTCGCATCTATCTTTGCTCCGTCTCTATTTGCGATTTTGAGGATGACTCTGAACAGTTTAAGAACTGTCAGGGGGTTTGCGATCATAGAAATGTTCCTAAATGTCTGAATTACGATTGGAGATTTGTAAAAGTGGAAAAGACCAATGAGATTGTGTCCTGAGTTGTCTATCTTGATGGAGAACCTTATAAGGAAGAAAACCCAGTTGGTTACAGTACTGGCTTTTTCGAAATTAAAATCAGTCAAATCTGGGAAGATTTGGAGGGCCTGGAAGATCATTTGGCGCGTTATTGTGCGGAATAATGATGGATTGGCAGCTGAGGACTCAGCAAATGCTTGAATTAGCTCAATTGATGCTTCATGATTTTGAACTGCTTCAAATAAAGCTTGGCAGATGATTTGAGCTGCAACATTCTCAAATGTAGATGGTAAATCCTTGAAAAGAGAGGAAATTGTTGAAAAAAGTGAAGGGAATAATGTCAAATTTGATAATGAAGACCTGTTGAACTGTCTTTCAGCGTATCGACGTTCTTCCGTGATCTTGTAGGTCAATGCGACTAATAATTTGATCGCGTATTCAAGAAATTCGCGAACTCCGAAAAATATTGTTGAATTTTTTTCATTTTCGGCTTCTGGAGCTCCTCCTATCTTGGAAATGATCTCCAATGTATTGACAACACCAAAAGTAAGAGGTGCTTCAATTCCGTAAGTAATTTGTTCGAATTTCTGGTTACATTTGTCAACTAAGGCATCTCCTGCTTCCTGAGTCTGTACAATGATTGGATTTACTTGTGTGTATAATACTTTGTCGATTTCGTTCATTAAATCTGAATTGTTTTGATTTTGATCTTTGAAATAATATTTTGTCGAAAGAATTGCGTCTTTATTAGCCAAAAGCATCGGGAATCTTACATTCATCAATTTGAGTGTTTGTCTACGTATCGCTGATATCACTCCTTGCATAAAATAAGGATAATATGAATATGATATATTTTTCTTGTAGTGATTGCAGAATAACCTTGATACCATGACTGCTTCTATTTCGACGTGCATCTTTTTGATGGTTCTCAGCGCGTAATCGATAAATAACATAACTCGGCCTTGATGTGTCGCATCGTAAGTCATTTCGAAGAAATTGAAGATCTCTCGCCATCGGAAATTCGGTGAGATCTCAGAATATTTCTGATATGTAGCGCTCTCGAAGATTTTAGAAATTTTTTCAACAGATTGAGCAATTTCGGGAGATGAGTAGCCCTGGTTCTCCTTCGGGTCCCGGAGATTCGGTGTGTCAAAGATCTTGCGCCAGAACTTGAAGAAACGGTCGATAATAAAACTTGGAGAAATTTCTGATGTGAAGAATTTTCTGATGACGTTCGGGTTCTGGTGGGATGCTAGGTTCGAATCGTAGAGAATGGAGTAATCTGAATATGTTAATTTGTTGATATCGACTTGTAGAAAAGTATCCTTAAGTTTTTCAACTGATGAATGCGTGAGAAATGACAGAATATGCTTTACATCAGTTGCTGAGTTATGGGAGTAAAATGGAAGTGCTTGTTGGTTAATTAATAATTTTTGAAGATAATCTAGTAAAATTTTCGTCAAATCCTGTGTCATACTCATTTTGTCTTTTGAATATATGCAGCAGAAGCACAAGCAACTGAACAATGGCCCATACTTCGTCAAAATTGGAGTTGAACTAATCAAAAAATCATTGCCAAGAAGCTGAGCAAAGGCTAAATAGGCAATGAATCGCATTTTATCCCACTCCAATTGGTCAAAATCAGAAGGCTTCTCTTCTAGTTCGGCGAATATTGATTTGTAGACAATAGCCGGATCAGATTTCTGAAGCATAAGGTCTATCTGCTTGTTTCGAAGATATGTAATACATTTCATGACCATGCTCTGATCTTTACTTGAGAAAAGCTCTTTTATGGATACATTTTTCATTGGAGTGACAAAAAAAAAATTTTAGATGTCTAAATTAATGCATATATTATGATCATCGCATATAAATTGTCATGAAAATTGTAATTTTCAGCTAAATGGTTCAATCAGGATAAAAATTATTTTTCCATCAAAAATTATTAAAATAAAAAGTAGTATTTAGACAACAAAATACTATTTCTGATATACTGCATATCAAATCTTACTTTAAAAACAGAAAGTAAGCAAACATCTCATAATTCTTTTTCAATTTGAAACATTTTATTTACTGGAACCAAGTCTGATAACTTGGCATGTCCCCTCAGTAATATTCTGATAATCTCATTCTTGGAAAAATTTTTAAAAATTTCAATTTCAGAATTCAATGATATCAGGAATTATCAAGAAATCTATACACGCTTTACTCATATGGAAACTAGAATTTCAAAGTTGAGCGCAGAGAACGGATTTGCAAATCAAGTTCAAATATTGGCATTTATATCAGACAGAGCATCATATTTGATACATCAAGCACAACATGTTCAAATAGCAGCATAATTTAAACAGTCATTTCTGTCGCGTGGAAAATGACCATTGAATGAACATTGTTAATCATTCTAGTAAATTTCATTCAGTATTTTGCGGCAGTGTTAGCAAATCAGAATCAAATTATAGAATTAAGACTATTCAATGCAAGCATCAATAGTAATGAGGCTTAAATACAAAAATTATTTTATACCAAATGTTATTTCATTTAAGTTTGATCTTTAAGAATGAAATCAAGCTCAGAGTTTAGGTGCCACGCCCATAATCGTTTTTCTTGTTTTCTGGCAAATGAGATTAAAATAAAAATTCGAGAAAGAAGTGAGCAAAGATAAATGTGTGTATAATCGAAGTTGAATATTGAATGGTTTTGCAATTAACTTGGTATCGATTAATGTCGCAGTATTTGAGAGGTTTATCGAATTGCACTGATGAAATATTTCTTGGATTATCAATAATTACATTATTACTATTTTTTTCATTATACTTAATTATGTTGTTTTGAGTGTTACAATATTGAACACTGATATGACTAGTAGTATCAACTGTAAAAAATAGATAATTGCAGGTATTTTCTTGGATATAGCAATCATTTACATCGATACTTGAGTATGAAATGCCCGAAACGACACCTCTATCTCCTGTATGATAATTTTTGATGATGTTTATTTTAGATAGCTTGCATTTCATTTGATTATGGTATAAAATACCTTGCGTTTGTACAGAATTATTATAAAAATGAGAATTATTCACTTTTGATGCGCTTGAATAATATAAGCCATACGCTGTGTTCATTTCTCCTTTGTTAAGTGTATCATTTATATAACTTACTACAATTTCGCCATATAAGAGGTCAAATGAGAAGTCATCAAGAACTTTGCAATTAGAAATGGATGATTCTATGAAATAATTTTGACCTGATTTCGCAGATATTTGGCAATAAACGCCATCTTGCTCTCCGGTTATATCATATGAGCATATCTTCTCTTGTATACATCTGCCATTCTCTTGAATTACAGCGTGTGAATCTTGAGTCTCAAAAAAATTATAAAATTTGCAATCATAAATTAATAGATTTGCATTACTAATTGAAATAGAACCAAAAAGTACAAAGTCTTGAAATAAGATTTCATAAACTAATACGTTTCCATCTTGATTTATAAATTGGGGCTTATTGAATCTATAATCCAGATTGTAATCTGGATATGCGTTGTTCCAAATGGTCGTTGGCTCACTCAGTTACATAAATAAACAAGAAAAAATCTGACACTTTTATAATCTTAAATATTCATAAAACGCGGGCTCATACAATATATCAGAGAATACTCGCTTTTGGAAGTCATTCAAAAATAATATCTTGTGGATATTAAAAATGGAGTTAATTCTATAGATTGGGAATATAATTTTGAACTATAGGAGCTATTATCATATGCAATTGCTTAAAAATATCTGGAGATAAGATTTCATCTTTACGAATTTTGTTTGATTGATGAATATATGCAAAAAGTTCATAAAATAGTGCATTCTTTCGCATGTCCTTAGCATCGCATCAACTCTAACGACATTGAAAAAAAAATCACTAAAACATTTGAAAATAAGATAAAACTAGGAAGTATTCCTATTAATGTTTCAAATCTGTATATAACTCTTTCATGAAAACAGTTCTTGCAGTTTTTGAGCAAATTCCATCGCGTGTTTACATATTGAGGAAAAAAACGTTCAAACTCTAAAAAATTTAGTGTAGAAAAAAAAAGAAATGAATGATAAAATAATACAGCCAAGGAGAGGGCGGTCAGCAATGCATGCAATGACTGCTCCTCAGAGTACTCTAGGAAGTCCTCGTGGCCGAAATATACGAACAGCAAAAGGAATCAGACTTAGTTTCGATTTAACAGGTCTAATGCAAAATACACTTAATCCTGATGGGGAAGACACTTTAGCAGTTATAAAACCCGTTTTCAGGCAGTTTATCGAGAAAATATCCGACTTTTTAAATCATACTGGTGGAACTAAAGCAATTCGTGATGATTTACAAGGAATTACTCTAAAAACAGATGAATTGTTCTCTACATTTTACTCTCAATTAACAAAATCAGGACGTTCTGCTATACCAATTTCAAAAATTAAAACGATTTCTTTAACTACAATGTCTGTTAAATCCTCTGCTATTCCATTTGCTTTAATATGGCAAAGAATCATCAAACATATCAACAGAATCAAAGAAACAGGTGAAAAATTAATTCTTGATTCAATTAACGACAATTTCAACATAGTTTTGAACTCTTTAGATTCAATTATCAATAGCAATGGATACAATGCCGGCATGCATGATAATAATATCAAGAAAGCAAGGAAATTCCAACAAGTTGTTTGGAATTTACAAAGAAAGGTTCAAGATTTCTTCAATATCATCAATGTTGAAAAGAAATATCATGAGAAAGCAATTACCGATGAGCTTAAAGTACTTTCTCGTGATATTTCCGCTGCTTATACGAATGATTTTTCAAAGATTGCAGCAGTTTTCTCAGAAAACGAAAACAGCCGTAACAAAATATATACATGCATTTGTGAAGTTGTTTTTCAGCTACATTCTCTCACAATTTTCTCAGAAGATGTACTTGCGATTTCTAATGCGTATACAGATGTTGATCAGTACATAAATGTGATCGTTGACAGTCTCCAGATACGAGACAAGCTCAATGAAACATCTCCTGAAGAGGAAGAAGAAGAAATTCCTCGAAATACAACAAATTCGCTCAAAAAGTCAATAATTGACAGCGAAGGAGAGTATTTCCTTGTTGACATGGAGCTCCCTGAGATTGTCCATCGAGCATCAATAGCTTTCAAACGAGGAATCACAGACAGAAAGAGATTTGACGAATTTATGTCAGTTTTACGTAAAAAATCCGATCTTGTAACAAACGAAATCAAGACTTGCAAAGACACACTTCAAGAGCAAGCTCCAAAGATTGCTTCCTACGACGAAATGGAGAAGAGCCTTCAAGAAGCAACGAAAGAAATCACTGAGTTCAAAACGCAATCATTTATCCAGAAACAAACAATAAAAGATCTCAAAGACAAACTGAATGAAATGACGAACAACACGAATGTCAATGGCTTGAGATCGTGTTTGAACGATGTCTGCACTGTTCTTTCCAACAACACTGAAGAAATAAAAGCAAATGGATCAAATGATGACGCAATCATCGAAACAACGCGTCAACTCCTTGAAGTTGCAGCGAAAAACAAATGTTTGAGTTGCCAACAGAACGAAGAAGTATTTAAGTCTCTGAAACAGTTGTTAGGATCAGAGATGTATGTTGAAGAAGTCCAAATATTAATCAGAAAATATAATGAATTGTCAAATCATTATACATCGCAATCTGACAAAATTTCGGAATTGACGGAAGAAATAAAGACATTAAGAGAAAGTTTGTATGCTATAATTGGTGAGTTCAAACTCTCTTTGCCTGATGAAAAGAACTTGCCAACTTTCTCTGTAATGTGTGTAAAAGAACAATTGGCAATTTTGAATAATAAGTTTGAAGCTGAAAAAGTTCATCATTCTAAGGATATTGTTGCTATTACACAGATGATAAAGAAGTCATTTAACTTGGCAGAAAATACTTCTTTGGAATCTGATATAGAGAACTTACAAAAAGCGTTTCATTCCATTCAAAATGAAATGATAACTCAATCAAAATTCTTAAAAACCGTCGAAGAAAGATTGAAAGCTTTGACCAGAACGTCGGCAACTCCTAAGTCAATAATGGATTCGATTGATCAGATGCTTAGCTTAGTAGAAAACACAGAGAACCCATTGGAACCTTTAGTTAAAACTTTGAGAAGAACAATTGCGGAATCTAAAAAGTGCATTAACGTTATTGAACCAAAGATACAAGATTTAACTGGTATATCACTGGTTATTAATCAAGATCTTGGAATTGATCAACGACTTGCAAATATTTCCGCAAATTTGGAAACATTCTTTGCCAATCAATCTTAATTTCATAATTGTCTAATGATATTTTGTTTTGTCATATACTAACTTGACAAAAACAAATTTTATGATTTGAGAATTTTATTTCCTTCATTGTTTGATTTATTTTGTTTTTAATTAAAATGTATTTACTATTACTGTTTGTTTTATCAAATAAAATTACTATGAATGTCTGAAATTTGATAACATTGATAAAAATCTCTTTTTTTGACAAAAAATGAAGAGCCTTAAAAATGTCTCAATAACTGCTCTTCAGATGAGGTTTATCACGACTTCCCCATATTTATCAGGTGATAGTCAGATAACTATCATGAAATCAACGTTTTCCAGATCATTTCACCCGATATTTTATAACATTAATTCAATTAAAGCTCAGAAATCCACATTCAACAGATTTTTATCATCAGTTGTTTATTGTAATAAAGAATATAAATACATTTCTTCGGCATTTACAGAATCAAAAACATATGATACAACTGATTCATACCAATTCGATTGTTGTAAGTTTTCTGGCATCACTGGATCACCATGTCTTGTTCTAAATAATCCAGAAATGACTGTTAGAGTCAGAAAAACTACAATTCAACAATGCACATCAACAGTAGGAACAATAACATTAAATACAAGAAATACTATCTTCGATGGACTCCAGATGTCAGATTCTAAATCTCCAGTTGGCGGATTTTTTGCCGCAAATCAACAATCAAGATATGGCGGAGTTTCATGCTTATCATGCACATTTGTAGGCTCAGAATATACAGATACAACCTCTCGCGACCCATTTTACATTAATACTTCATCCTGTGTTTTGGAATTTACAAATATAACTTCAAATAAAATCAAAACTTGGGGAGCTGTATTTGGAATATCAGCTCCCGATTATTTCTGTCTCAAAAACTGCTACGTTAATAGTTGCGAAGGTAGATGTATTTTATGGTCACAATATACTAAGTCCTGTACCGTAGTTTCCTCGACGTTCGGTAGGGTATCAATTTTAGATGGCTCAGGCAATGCTATTTTTTGGGCTTCCACTAAAATGATTTTCAAAAATTCATATATCTCTCCAACTTCACAATCTACCATTGTTAACCTTCAATCTGGCGATGGGTCATTTTATTTCTCCTCTTGCTCGTTCACTACATCCGATAGTGGCACAAATTCAGGAACATCAAATCAATTTGGCGCTCCTTCCAAAGGAGAAACGCAAATAACATTTGCTCTCTACGAGAATTGCGAAGGCATCCCTGCAACACCTCCTCCCACCCCTAAAATAACCCCGCAAGAGACACTTGTCCCTACAAAATCTCCTGACACTCCAGAACCAACGCAATCGCCCGTAGAAACTCCAAGCCCGTCACAATCTGCGGTTCCTCCTGAGCGAACTGTATCTGCTACTCCATGGCCTTCACCTATTTATGAAGAAGCATTTGGATTTTCAGCTTTGGCCGCATTTGTTATTTGTATCATTGTTTTCTTCATTGTTTTCATTTACAGAGAGTTGCTGGAGAAGTCATCTTCAGCCACAATTGATGAAACAGAGAGAGTTCCGTTTGTTTTAAACAAGAGATCCTCATCTTCTGAAAGACGTGGTAATTATTTCTCTCTGAGCTCTGGAGATGATTCAGACTAACACAGAATACTTTTATGTATCTGCGATATATCATAATTGTTATTTGTAAATAAAATATTTTTCTTAGATAAATTTTAAAATTTTGACACTTTAGAAAATAGTTTCATGTTTAAAAAGTCAAAATATGAGACGAAATTTTTAAGAATCCTGCTTAAAAATGGATTCATTTATGAGAATTGTGACGAAATTTATATTTATATTGAAATTCTCTCAATTTTCTACATATGAAAACAATATCCTCCTAATATTTGTTTAAGATCATCTGGTATTATCTTTTAAATTTCTTATAATTTTCATTATCAAAATTATATTTAATTTTTTTGATATATATTATCAGCATAATTTGTTTGATTTACTATTTGCAATATATTTATTAATGAAAATCTCAAAAATAAGGAAAATGATGAAAAAAACGAGTTTATCGTACATGGATGCATTTTTCGTACATCAACACGATTTTGCCCATCCATATACGGTAAAACTATGGACTGTCAGTACCTTCGAGGAAACTTCCTACTTATTAACATTTGATGGCGTGAAATTTCGCTTATTCAATTTTTTTAATTTTAAATTACTTAAAGAATGCGAGTTTGTTAGTCATGAAACATTAGCAGTAATGCATCCTATATTCACACCTTTATATCCTTCGAAAGCTTTGTTTTTAATGGTAAAAAATCGAAGAACTATTTTAGCGTTTGATGATACATTATCACAAGTTCCATCATTAAGTTTAGATACAAAAATTGTTGTGCTTGCCATGTCATGGTCACAAAAATTCCAAACATTATACTTATCAGGTAATTTTGGCTGGGTTCGTGCTTTAGAAGTTCATGCTCATACTTCCATTTCAGGCACAGCTTGTGAATGGGAAGGAAAATGGACAACAAGACATAATTCTCAGTGGATGAATCATTTAGTATGTGATGACACTAAAGAAATCCTATTTGGTGCATCAGGAACAGATGTTTACATCATGTCGATGAACGATGGCAGCTTATTACAGAAATTTAATACAGGTCATAAAGCGAATATCTCAGGAATCAGCTATTCTCCTGAGCACTTGATGTTTTTCACCGCAGCTACAGATGGCATAGTCAAGACCTGGCAAGTTTTCGAGAAAAGCGCTCTCAATACCCAAACGATTGACCAAGTTCGGCTTGGACCAATACATTTGATCATAGATTCCATGTCAATCATCACAGTATCCCACGAAAGAGTCATCCGCCGCTACAATATGATGACAGGAAACCTCATTGGCTCATATAACCTCGAGCCATCTGTTCCATTAGACATGAAAAACGTAGAAGCGGCCATAGACTTACAATCCGCAATGACCTACAAGACAGAGAAGAAGTCCTGGGTTTTCCAAAGCGAAGGCGGCATAATCAGGCAGTTCCAAGCCTGTTTTGCTCCGAAAGAACTTTCAATTTGTTCAGATGCTGTTGTTTCAATTTTGGTCGACCACAATGGTAAAATTTTTGCTCTGTCGAAGACCAACATCATCCACCAGTTGTACGCTGACACCCATGAATCAACTGTCTACGATTTGGATACAATGCCAATTGCTAACACTGGAAAACCACATACTATTTCTGTTCCTGTTTCCGAAATGGTTTTACACAAAGGAATAATTTACGTTGGTTTTTCGAACGGAGAAATCAAATGCTTTAATACAAATAACAAGCAACTGTTCGAAATGAATGAACCAACACTTGGTAACAGAATAGACTCAATGCTGCCTCTTGAAAACGTAATGACAGTTAGACATTCTTATTGCAAAAAATGTAAAAAAGTGACAACTTTATTATTCACTTCCACAAGTAATGGCGGCATTGTTATGCATTGTCCAACATGCTGGGATTATATTGGCAGCTGGAAGATCTCAAATATCGGAATGCTCCACATGGAAAGGACTCCTGACGGTAAATACGTCATCGGATTGGAAGATGTTGTAATTCATATTTATAAGGTTAATGAACAATATTTTGAAGAAGTTTTCACATTGAAATTGGACGAATTCGAGATCGCTCAGACCTTCAAGTTCGCAACTAACAGTTTATTAGTTGTTTGCCTAGATAACGGTAAAGGAAAAGTCTATGAGTTACAAGAAGATTTGCATGGAAATCCAACTTTGACACTTTTGCATAATATGAAACTCCATAATTCTCCATTTACTTCTATCATTTCTTCCATGGATCTACTCAAATTCGAAGGCGGATTGGAGCTAATTAAGAAAGAAAATCTTGAAGGATATGTCTGTTCTTTGGGAACAAATGATACATTAACAATAGCTGATTGTATCACAGGTATTGTCCAATACACGAAAGACACTCCAAAACACACAACAAACCATGAAATGGCATTTATTTTAGCAGGAAAATTAATGATAGTTTTGGGTGTTGATCAAAATATTCGGTTATTGGATTGGCCTGATTTCCAAAGAATTTATCCTTCTCCACCACATACTCCGAAGAAAGAAGAAGAGGAAGATAAGAAAGAGTTATCAAGTGAAGAAGAAGATGACGATGTTGTTCCTTTCTTCCAACAAACAACGAATAACATGAAAAACAATTATTTCAGTTCTTCATCTTCAAGTTCTCAAGAGCATTTCAATTTGGAGTCAGGAGAAAACAACTTGAACAATGTAAATAATGAACCAATATTGAGATATCCTGATATTCCTCCTGGAGGAAGAAAGAGAATGGACTTGATTTTCGAAGACGGACATCCGAAAATTGTCGTTGAAGGTGAAGAAACTTATACTTTTAATTTGGATTCTCGTCCTTCTGTTGGAGAATTGATAGCTGCTCCTCAATCTGATATAGACGCAGTGATGCAGCACAACGCAAATATTATTAAGAAACTCATTGCTAATGATCCAAGAGTTGCTGCTGCTTTCCAACCACAAAAGAAAATCAAAAGAATCAGAGCGAAAAAAGTGGAAAATGTCGATGAAGAATTCTTTTATTCGTTCTTTTTGACGTTGGATGTCAAATCTGTTCCAAAAGAAGTATTCCAAGAGATGCACAGGAAGAGGCTTGAGAAACAGAGTGCCAGGAAATCCATTAAATCTATCTCTTCGTCATCAGCAAGAACAGAAAACTCTCAAGAAGAAAATGAAAGTGATGAAATAGAAGTTGTCAGAAAAATTAAGCCAATAAAGAAAATTGGCAACAGAAAAACTCGTGAAAATAAGAAGAAACAAAGAGTTTTCGAGATCGAACTAGAAGATGGAACAATAGTACAAACAAATGAACTAACAGCTGATATCCTTGCAAACTTAGCAAATTCAGAAGTCAATGATCCAACAAGAGTGGCTTACAACGCAAGTAACATAAATGTTCCAGGAAAAATCTTCCAAAAAGCTCTGAAAGGTCTCAAAAAAGTATCAGAAAACAAAGCCAAAAAGCCAATTATTCACTTGACACAACAAGTAGCTTTGCCAATCCAAACAATCATGCCAAATGGTGTCTACATTGGTGGTTCCGAAGCGAGACATTTCCACAACACAAAACCAACATTTTATGATGATTGGATTCCTCCGAAACAACCAAAACCATATTCCCAATCAATGAGTGGAGCTGATTTCATGCATTGGGAAGGAGTAAGGTTCCACAAGAGGCCTGAGCATCATGGATTCATTAAGAACATCTCGTTGAGTGAACAATATTTTGATATCAATGAATACGATGAATACGAAGAAGAAGAGGAAGAAGAAGAAACATTGGAATCAATCCAGAAAAGAAGGAATTTTGTCAACAACATTTTCGATAGAAGGAGACATTCAAACCTTACAAATATCGAAGAATTCGATCAGGCATCAGATGAATTCGATCCTTCTGGATACGAACCAATAAAAGAAGAAATATTCCCTGCATTGAAAGAAGCAAAATCAAATGAAAATGTTGTCGAAGAAAAGGCTGATACATTTGGAGAAGAACCAATATTGTCAAATACAACAAATGATGTCAAAGCATCGAGTCAGATCCAGCTAATCAACACTTCATTGTTTGATCAGTGCAATGACTCTTCCGCGAGTTTGTTTTCGATGTCCGGATTGAACATTTTCGATAACAACAACCAAAGAGCACAAAAACTCGTAAATGAATCTCCTTCTTTGAAGATATTGAGTGATATATACGGAGCAAGTGATAATCCACTGGCTGATCTCATAAAGAATGCTCCGCCAATGTCAGCAGATGATATACAGAACTTGCAACTCAACAAACTTGGTCCTCTTCCTGAATGGACACCTTTAGCTGATACAATTCCAATGGAATCGAGTGGTCCTCAGGAATTGCATGGATTCACAGTTGCTGGTGTTGCCAATCCTAATTATGGTAAGGGAAGACCTCGATCTCCTCCTTCTGGATTGTTTACTTTGAATGATATCAATAATTCTTTGAATGTTGGCAAAAACTTTTTGCCGATGATTTCTGAGAATTCCCAAGAAGATTTCTTGTTGGATTCTATAACAGAAGCAAGTTACGGAAACGAGGATATTGAGCCATTGGATTCTCCTTCTTCTGTTGCTTCATTCCAGAGTTCTATTCTCGCAAAGAAACCTCCAACACCTCCAAAACCAAAGTCGGCATCAGTTCTCCAAGTTGAAGAACATTTGAAGAGAAATGACTTCGCTGCTTTGAGAGAAGTACTTGATGAAGTTGGATTGATAGAAGACAACACGCTGGTCGACCAACCAAAGTGGCAACCAACAATTAACTTCTTGAGTTTCCACCAGAAAGCTCTTTCCAACAATTCTTCGACTGTTTCTTTGTTGAGTCATCATTCTTCGAAGCACAATGATGAAGAAGAAGACAGGAACTCTGCAATTCCTGAAACAATTCCTGATGAAACAACTGAAATACAGAACCTTCCTTCCCAAGTTTCTACTGCTTCTCGCGGAAGTTTCTCCAGTCTTCCTTACGAGGCGCAGACAATCGAAGACAGCGATGGATCTTCACACACAGTCAGCGGACTCATTCCTGAAAACAAGCCGGAAATCAAATTGCCTGATTCTCCGAAACAAGAACCATTAAACAGGAAATCAAGTGATTTGAACATGATTTCTGAAGCTGACGAATTACCTCCACCAATCATGGAACAGATCAATGAAGATGATGAATCAATGACACATGAATCAGTTGAAAACATTGCGGAAACTAAATCAGACGAATCAGGAATCATTCAAGAAGAAAAAGAAGAAAAACATGAAGAGGAAGAACATAAAGAAGAAGAGAATCATGAAGAAGAAAAGAAAGAAGAGGAAGAAGATTCTGATGTTGACATTGATGGAGAGATAGAAAGAATGTCTCAACAATCACAAGCGAAATATGATTTAGAACAGAAACTGAAACAAGAAGAGGAAGAAGAAGAAAAACACGAAGAAAAAATCGAGGAAGAAGAAGAAAAAAAACAAGAAGAACCAAAAGAAGAAAAGAAACAAGAAGAGGAAGAAGAAGAATACGTCGAAGAAGAAGAAATAACTGAATACCAAACAGACACTCAGACATATCAAACAGAACAAACAAATGTTACTGAAGAAGAAGAAGAAGTTGAAGAAGAAAAGCATGAACAACAAAAAATTGAGGAAGAAGAAGAAAAACGTGAAGAACCTGAAGAAAAGAAAACAGAGGAAGAAGAAGTCAAAGAAGAAAAGAAACAAGAAGAGGAAGAATCAGAAAATGAAGAAGAAGATTATCAAACAACTTCAACAGAATTGTCTTCAACAACTTCTGAAGATTTGAGTAACTTGGAACAAGCACAAAACGATCTAAACAACGTCTTATCAAAACAAGAAGAACAAAATCAAGTTGAAGAAAGACAAACTCCTGATTTAAACATCCCTCAAAATGATCCTTTGATAACAATAACTTCTCACAGAAGTCAGCAGTCAAGTGAAGCACAAACACCTAAACTACAGATCGCAGAAGAAATAGGAGATGTCGATCTCGCTAAAATGAATGCAAAACAAGCAAAGAAAAGACCTCCAAGATCAAGAAACAATGAAAAGGTTGAAAAAGTTGAAAAAAGTGACAAGAAATTATCAAAGAAAGGAACAAAACTCACTGCAAGCAAGAAAGACTTGAGGGGCTCCAAGAAATCAGTAGATCACTTCGATACAAGTGATCATAACAACAAATTAACGAAAGGAATCACAATGGAAAGCATTCATTCGGATGATTCAAATGAAGAAGAAGAAACTGGACAATTACAAAAAGATCAGATCACAAACAAGTCAAAGGAACAATTACCAATTACAAAAGACCAGCCTGCAACGAAATTAAGTCGTTCCAATCGTAGTTCAGCACAAAATTCGACATCAAATGTTTCCGTTGAATCTGTTTCGAAAGTTAAAGCTGTTGCAGGAAACAGAGGCCAAGGAAAGCAAAGGAGAACTATTGGAAGAAAGAACAATGATGAGAAGATTCCTTTCGATAATACAATCTCATCTATCACTGAAGAAGAAGGTCCTGATCAACCTCCTGAAACTCTCAAGAAAAAAGTTGTCAAAAAGAAAGTTGTCAAGAAAGAAGAACCAAAGGATTCTCCTCTTGTCAACAGAAAGGACCAACAGAGGAAGGAGGAAGAGGAACTCCTTGCAAAGTTAATGGCAAATACAACGGAAATGAATATAACAGCAGATTTGTCTTCTTTAGGAATTACTGGACAAAAACAAGTTGTTAAAATCGAAAAACAGAAAAGTAGATCTCTTTCTTCACGTATCAACTTGGATGATCCTCCTGAATCATTGAAGATTATCAATGAGAGAGAATCAAATGAACGTCCGAAAGAGAAATTCCCGAATTACACAATAATAAGAAACAAATCTTCAAACGATTTGCTTTCGAAGAAAGAATTCGAAAGGCCAAGACTGAGAATGATGGCTGAGTACGAGACAAGCTTGGCTCCTAAGGCATTCAACTCTTTCTATGCTCCTTCATTGTGGGAGAGAAGAAGAGGAGTCTTAAGAAGAAATTCCATTATTTAATTTTTATTATTTTATAATGTTTGTATAAATATTTAATTTTTTTTTACAAATAACTATTACTAATCATTGAAAGTGTATGAAAACCATAACCATTGAAAGCATTGTTTCATAGAAAAATAACTATCATAGCCTCAATTCAATCTTCATTTTTGAGAATCAAATATTTTTGGCACTTTTATAAAAATTTTTATATTCTGAAATTTTAAACGTCATCGATGCAAGTTATGGATGATTTATGCCAAAGAATATTTGATATACAGCTAGCACTGGAGATGGCTGTTAGTGGACCTATAAATGCAAAGCAAGTACAAGAACTTTCTGCTCAAATGTCTCAAATTGAGCATGAATTAGAATTACATGAAAGTCAAGTCGACGCGATGCTTCCATTAATCGAAAAGTCAAAAGATATCATTCAAGAAATTCAACTCGCAAAGCAGGTTTTCGAAAATGAAATTCATCAATAATTCCAATTCCTCCAAATTTTTATTTTTACAACTCATTGTTGCAAATTACTTTTCGAAATTTAACCACTGCCCACAAGGTTTATAAAGTTATAAAAATTTGTAATGATGAGTTGTTTACTGAGGATTGAAGGTGTTTGATGAATATGTTTTGCTTCAAAAGAGAATTACAGAAGAGTTTGAAACTCGTTCTTTTTCAATTTTGGAAAATTCAATATTATATTGTTTTGTAGAGAACCGTGCTTATAAGAAATAAGATTCCTATTAAAATTAAACCATTTTAATATGTTTTCTTTATTTAATGTTTAATAATTTTTTTTATATTTTCTGATTTGGAATTGAACAGTATCTGATATTTAAAATTAAACAATTGTTAATATTTTTTATATTAATATATTTATTATTATCCGGATAGAAAATAAATTTATAAAGCATCAGCAACTGGATCATCCCAGTAGCCGGACTGGACTTCAGAGATATGCTTCCTTTGCATCAAAAGCATGCATAATCTGCTTTGTCCAATACCACCGCCAATTGTCTGTGGAAGTTCATCGTTCATGATCATCTTGCAGTATGGGTTCTCGAGTCTGTCAACAGCATGAACCTTCTGGAGCTGTGGAACTAATGTATCCTTGTTAACACGATATCCCATTGAAGAAATTTCAAGAGATTCGTTTAAGGCGTCACTCCAGTAGATGATATCGCCATTGTTATCCCAATCATCATAATCAGGAGCTCTTGAGTCGTGGATAGAGCCATCTCCTAATTCCTTCCCAATCTGTTGGATAAAGACGGCCTTATGAAGTTTGGCGATCTTGTTCTCACGTTCTCTAGCTGAGATGTTTGGATACTTCTTACGTAAGGCTTCGGAAGTGATAAATGTGATTGTCTTTGGAATAATCTTCTTATTTTCAAGTTCCTCATCAGAGATGTTTGGATACATGAACTTAAGAAGTTCTGTCTCTAAATCGTAAATGCAGGAGTGGATTGTGTTGACAACTTCAACAACATGTTCTGGGCCTTGTTCTTCAACCATTTCCCAATCCCATTGGTCGACATACATTGAGTGAGTCTTATCAACGTTCTCATCCTTTCTGATAGCGTTCATATCAGCATATAAAGCTTTGATGTTGTATTTCTTAAGAGCAACACGTTTCCATTTAGCTAATGACTGGACAACTTCCATAACCTTGCCCTTGTGTGTGAAGGAAACCTTCTCTTCAACACCATTTAAGTCATCATTGAGGCCAGATGACTTTTCAAGGAAAATTGGAGAAGAAACTCTGATGAAGCCGAGTCTTTCCTTAAGGAGTCTTGGAAAAGCGTACTTGATGTACTCTATTTCCTCAAGTGTTGACTTGTATTGCTGCTGTGGAGGCATAATATATGAAAAATGAATTTTCTATAAGTATTCAAAATATTTGTATGGATGAGTGGTCAAGATTATGGATGACTCAATGAAAAATTGAATGCTGTCAAATTTTTTATGAAAGTTTTATTTGCATTTGTGAAAATGTTTATTCTTGTTACCACGAATACTTTTTATTTTTTATTTTTTGACAAGTTTACAATTGCTTGATTTTATGGAAAAATTTGAACTTTGAATATTATTTTCGTCAATTTTTACCTTATTGGTGTATTCATCCGAATGTGTGTGAGAGATTAGTTCATGATTTAAGATGATTTTAAGAAGTTTTTCATTGTTTTTTACATTTGAGAGTTTTATTTCAGAGAGAAATGTTTTATGGAAAAGAAATATAAATAGTTACATAACAGTGATTAATATTTTATAATTTTATTCACAGAAATTGATGTTATTTTGTTTACAACATTGATTCTGATTCATGATTTCCTTTGATTTTTATGAATGCATATATGCATCTTGTAACTTAAGGTAATCAGTAAATATTAAAGGACACTGATCGTAAAGAAAATCTGACTGAGAAAAAAAATCTTTGATGGGGATTGCGGCTCAGTATAAAAAGATCATCTAGGTGTTTTACTTAGTATAAATTGATTTCAATGACGAATCTATTTTGTTCTTTTTCTCGAATATACGAACAAAAAAAAATATCAGAGGATATATTGTTAGATCTGTAAAATTAATGATCTACACAAAATGTTGAAGTATAATTTTGAGCAGATGAACTGATACTGAAGGTTCTAAAACAGAATAAATAATAAATTCTTCAAATAAAAGGAGGATAACGTCAATCTAATATGGTAGCTCAAATTCTTTGTTTGACATCTTAAAATATATATAAACAACAATAAAATCGGAGAAAATAATTGTTTGAATCAAAGATGAAACAATGAGATTGGTTTGAACTCTTGTTGAAGTAATATAGCTATAAAGCCAATACATGAAATATATCATTCTGTATAAGGAAAGGAGAAAAATGTAATCTACTTGGATTATATTAGTTTTGCTAGATCTTCGTAGTAAAATTATCTGTGGTAAGATTCCAAAAGCTTCAATCCATAATGATACCGCATGGAAAAATGTCCAAATAAAAACTTTTTCGAATCGAAGCTTTGGACCAAATATGAGTGCACATAGTATTGACAGAGCATATATTATTGATATATACAGTGTATCGCGTTGTTCTTCGTAAGTTTTATAAAATTTGAATCTGACTAAATAGATTAGGTATGCATATAATGAAATGATTGCTAATTTAAAAAGAATTGAAACGAATGATCCTTTAAAAATCCATGGATTTACGTATCTGAGTATGTAACATGTTAAATATAAAATTAAAGACTTCAATGAAACAGCATCGCATCTACGCTTAATTTTTATCTTAGCTAGCAATAAAACAATCGATGCTAAATGTAAAAAATCTGCAATTCCAATCAAATTCATCTTAAATCTTGTCACTTTTGGAAAAAAATGAAAAATTGGGGAATGGTAAAATAAATGGTTAATAACGTGAAGTATTTATTTGGATGTAGGATTGAGGATACCTCGTGCAGTATTTTGTTTAAATTTCAGTTGCTTATTATGGATTCCAATTGATAGAAATGATCTCATTTGTTGAGAATTTATGTTATATTTAAAATTTTAAACATACATGTGAAGCGCCGTTGGCCCAATTGGATAAGGCGACTGCCTACGGAGCAGTAGAGTCCAGGTTCAAGTCCTGGACGGCGCGATTTTTTCATTTTGGTGTTCTTCTTTTTTGTTCATCGATGGTATACTAGATTATATATGTTGTAAATGATATATATCTTTTCTAATATTAAAAATGATATGCCGCATATAAAAATTGTTATCCAAATGATAAAAAAACAAAATATATTTTTTATTAATTACAAGAAAACATATCTACTCTTCGACGATGAAACGTTTTTGATTTTTGTATGCTTCAAGCTCGTAATTCTGCTTAAAACTTGAAATCAAATCGATAAAGAATCTCAAATTGAAAACAGGAAGAATTCTCTCCTTGAACAATGGATAGATGATTACAATACAAATGAACACTCCGATTAAAGCGTAAATTGGGTAAATTCCAATAATTGCTTTGCTCTCAACGTTTTTGATGCCTTGAGATATCTTAATAGACTTGATTTCGTGGTATCTATTAATAAACAAAATTCCAATAGCAAGAACGATTGCAAAAGAAATTAAAACCGATAATAAGTATTTTGATGCTTTATCATATGGTGATTCGATGTGAGGCTTGTATTTGAAATCTTGCATATCATACTTCCATGCATTTGGGTTTTCTTCTTGATTTTTGATGAAAGATTTCGGATCAATTCTCCTTCTGACAAATTCCTTTTTCGGAGCTATATTTGGTTTTGGTTTTATTTCTTTTTCAATTGGTTCTTCATCTGAATCATCAGCGACTTTTTCGGATTGAGTTGGTTCTATTTTACGAATTATATGTTGTGGAGGTATTCTTGAAGTTGATGGTTTTTGTTCTTCTGTGCTTGAATGTTGAGGCTGTTTGTCCTGTTGATTTTCGGAATTATTTTGATTTTTATTTTTCAGACGAACTCCTGCGACATTTATAGTTATAGATGATGTTTCATCGATTTCAAGACTACCGATTTGAACTGAAGGATTGAGAATTTTTCCATTAGCTATAATTCGGACATTTGTTTCATCAGATGTTAACTCGCAAAGCTTCAAAAGGTGTTTCTGGAATTGACCAATTGTATATTTTGCAGGAACTTTATTGATTTTTAATATCTCCTTTGTTGCGACAATTTTAGCTATAATATTCACTGACATCAATAAAAATTATGATTTAATAACCATTAATTTCGAACATTTATCAGTAGTGGAAGATACTTAAATCTATGAAATTGTTAAACAAAGTAGATTTTTGGGAAAAGAAATTTCAAGTTTGGAAAATTTAAAAGAAAATGCTTTAATCAACAATCTAAATAGTTTAAAAGAATTTTGAGGACATAGATTGATCGAAACATAATATTATCATTTTCAATTTTTTGGATCTTGGATTTAATTTCTTTTCTGAGTTTGAGGACATTTGTCCTAGCTTTAGTATGGTTCCAGAATATAAAGATTAGTACATAAATTTAAAAGAAAGAAGTTTTTATAATAAACAAACAGAAGATTTTATAATATGAACAAAATATATTACTGTGTAATAGTTTGTGGGAGTGGGAGTGTTTCATCCTTTTGATTCGACTCAATAAAGATTTTTGTAGATAAATTTTCCCAAACTATATAAGCAGCGATGAATCCTATAAATAATCCAGCTAGAACATCGTCAGGATGATGTCTGAAATCGACTATTCGTGTTGCGCCAACGTAAATTCCAAATAATGCAAATAATGCTGAGAAAATGATTGCGTATGGTTTTGCGTACAAAAACTTAATGAAAAATGCTGCCATGTAGATTGTTGCTGACATAGCTGTAGAAGAATGACCTGATGGCCAAGATTTATGTTCTTCTTTGAGTATTTTTTGTGGACATTCGGTTAAATTTTTCACTCCACATCTAGCGTAAATATCTGGTCTTGCGCGTCCAACGTAGCTCTTTGGAACATTTACAAAAATATTGCTCATTGAAATAGCAAAAACCAATCCCCATGCAACTGGAAATAGATCAAATCTGCAAAAATACTTCGGATAGCGCCTTGCAAGGAAGTATAATCCAATAAAAATTAAATTGAAACCTCCAAATACAATGAATGATAAAAGGAGAAATGGTATTTGTGATTTTTTCATTGGATAATTGGAATCTCCGTCATTTTCTGGTATATATAAATAATTTGGTTCGATTGTTGAAAGACCAAGCCAAACAGCAAGAGCAAGGATTGATATGATCATGTCCTGGTAATCAATAAAGTACAATATTCGTTTCCAGAGTGGATCTCTCTCATCAATTTCAATCATTATTATTAAATTGTAAAGAACGATCAGAGTTTACAAAAATTTTCATAAAATATATACAATACTATGCAAATATCGATTTCGAGAGAATTGTATTTATAAATAATCGTTTTCTTCACAATTATGATTGTATAATAGATTTTCTCATTTGGGAGTTTGATACTGTAATCTATCAATTCTAATGTAAATGTAGTATACTATGCAACAGAGTACTAGTTAATAAAGGAGTATTTTAAAATATTTAGCTGAAGTGTCAATTGAATTGCATCAAGTTGATGAAAAATAAGAATTTTGGACCAACATTATGATACTTTTGATCAAGATATTAAGAGTATGAAGAAATATTACTAAAATATGCTAATTTCATATGAATTTGATTCAAATTTTAACAAATTAAACAAATTTAATCGTGAATATTGAAAGAAATACAATAAAACTCTCTCATATATTATATCTATCTATATGTCATCGTTAAATTCGGTCATGAAAAATTCCAAAAAAATTTCAAAATTTCAAAAATGAAATCAAAAAATACGATTTTCAAGATAAAAAGAGAAAAATTAAATATTTTTGGAATTATAAAACCATTTTAAAATTGATTTAAACATGATCAAACTTATGATGCAAGCAAAATCAAAAGAAAATTCCAGAATATATATTTTATGAAAGAAATTATTCAATAATATGTATTTCTAAATGTAAAACAATTAATGTAATCAAATAAATTTTACTAAATTTATCCGCGAAGTTCTGGATGTGCTTCATATAATTCGATAAGTCTAGCCTCGTATTTGTTCTTGAGTTTAGAAAGCTGTGGCTTCTGGGATGGTGTAAGGAGGCCATTATCAATTGTAAATTTGACATCATCAAGAAGAATTGCAGTTAATTTTTCGAAACCTCTAAGATTACGAGCCTTTGCGAGCTCATCGAGGTTCTTAATCATATCATCATGAGCGATCTTTGATTCCTTGAAGTTTTCGATACCAGCTTCCTTCCATTCCTTAATCTGCTGTTCTGTTGGGATAACGACAGCAATTGGATGGTTATGGTGGCCATCAGCGTAAATGTAAATGCCAGAAACGCCCTTGGCCGAACCATAAGCGTCTGTAAGAGAAGTCAAAGAGATATATTCTCCTTGAGAGAGTTTAACGAGTTGCTTGACTCTATCGATAATTTGGACTGTTCCATCGCTTGTAATGATACCGATATCGCCTGTAGCGAACCAGCCGTCCTGTAATGCTTCTTTTGTCAACTCCTCGTTCTTGTGGTATCTGATGAATACGGATGGGCCGCGGAAGAGGATTTCGCCGGATGGATTCTCAGCGTGTGGGTCGTAATCCATGCCTTCGACTCTGCGCAATTTGAGATCTGTAGCAATGGCTGTTGCGCCGACTGTCATTGGGTTCTTGGAGTTGATCTGCTGGATGCAGCCGGCAGCGGAGATCTCTGTAAGTCCGTAGCCTTGGATGATGTTTGGTGTAATGGCAGCGCGAAGGAAATTGTAGACTTCTGGGAGAATTGGAGCACCGCCGGAGACGATGAATCTGATTCTGCCACCGAGAGCCGCACGGAACTTGGAGAAGAGGAAGTTATCGATAAGTAATGATGTTGGCTTGTCGTTTAAGAGGGCATCGATCTTTAATTTGAGGGCTCCACGGATCAAGAGTCTCATTGGTGTTGGAAGCTTGTCGATCTTGGAGTTCATTGTCTCGGCAATCTTATTAAATACACGAGGAACGCCAAGCATCATTGTTGGTCTAAGGGCCTGGACATCATCCATGATGTTCTTGATGCTTCCTGTGTAGAAGCCGATTCTGCAGCCTTGTGCGAGGAAACATGTTTGAGAAGCAAGTTCGTAGATGTGGGCGAGAGGTAAGAATGAAATGTATGTATCGGAGGTTGTAACAGAACCGTTTGGATCAGCAAGGCCTGTTCCACCAGCGATGATATTTTGGTGGGTCAAGACGCAGCCTTTTGGTGTTCCTGTTGAGCCAGATGTGTACATGATGATGGCAACATCTGATGGCTTAACTGGATATGGCTTGAAATCTTTAACTTTACGACCATTCTCTAAGATTTCGGTTGTTGTATGGATATTTGGACGATCTGTTGGGGCAGTATCGCCAATAACGATGATATGCTTCAATGGTGTGTTTGGTTCATCGAAAATCTTGAGGGCTGACTCAAGTTTTGTTGGATGAACAAGAACAACTTTGCATTCTGCATGGTCAACGATATATGAGGCAGCACCAGCGCCAAGGGAGTCATAAACTGGAACTGTTACGGCACCTAAGAAATGGGAAGCATACTGACCAATCTGCCAGTACATGCAATTATGGGAATAGATACCGATGGAGTCGCCATATCCAACACCAAGTTGTTGGAGACCAGCTGCAAATGATGTTACGTATTCATATAACTGTGTATATGTGATCCATTTGTAAGGACCATATTTACCGTCTGGCATAACTTCTCTTTCACCAAAACATTCTTGCTCATGATACTTAATACTCGATGCTTTAATAAGTTGTGGCGTTGTAACAGAGTCTGGCTGGCTTCTGAAGGTAGCAATATAAGCTCCGCCAACTTGGAGAAGTCTGTTATAGTTAATATAAACAGGACCACAATTATCATCGGTTGGCTCATCAGTTGGCACGCAATACGTGTGCGGATCAGTTGATGGATAGGCACCCATTATTTGGATTTGAAGTGACTTGAGTTGATGATGCGATTTTGCATCATATCATTTTTTGTGATTTCTGCATATTTGGTAAATACATTATATGGATAATATGAAAAACACCCTCAAATGTGAACTTTTTCTAACTTCTCAAAATTTTATTTACAATTAATTTATCCCAGTAAACATAAGCGTTTAAATAATTATATTTAAAAATCATGTTTTTGATTGTGATGAATCTCAAAATTCAGAAGCAACGTTAATGTCAGACTTCAATTTTTTTGGATCATTTTTCGATATTTTTAGAATAATAGTGAATACTTGAACATCATTGAATTTTGCAATATTCATAAAATTATTTTCAAAATTGAATACAGTCACAGGTATATTTGAGGCCATTACAGATGAAACGTTACTCACAAAGAGATATGTATATTCATGATAAACTTTATTTTATAATATGAATGATAAATTCAAAGAAAGGAAGATTTTCAAATTATTTTTGAATAAATTCTTTGTCATCTTTATCGAATTCATGCTTATTGCACGAGTCCCTCACCTCTAATTCGTATTTTTCAATTGGTTCGTCATCCATTTTGTACCATTCATTTACACAGCAGTACATAGCTCGATAGGAGCCAAGAAATACATCGTAAAATACATTACGTGTAACATGCGTTTCAACTGCCGTTTGAAGTCCAAACCATTTAAATTCGAATCTAATTACTTTAATGCATAAAGTAATGGGGCCATTATAATGCGAGACTCATTCAGGTGGTTTTGAATCATCTGATATACCTTCTAGTCCTACCAATTCATCGATTCCAGCTTCAGGGAATTTCAAACCATGGCAATCATATTCATCTAATGATGATTTTGGTCCATTTAACAAATCTAAATAGTATACTCTTCTAAGTTTCAATTCATTATCAGGAAGATTTAAAATATTTTCCGGAATTTCATCACCATTTTTGTAAGGTATATGCATACTTTCATTTGTAAGTATAAAACTATTTCCCATATCAGGAATGTTGAATTTTACGTCGAAATGCGGGTATGGATTGCGATTAATTTCATGAACATGAGCGTATTTTTCGGGAATTGCCCATCTAATCCATTGAGGTGCATGCGATTTGATGTGGTAAATTCTATGAACTTCAAATCCTTTGTTATCATTTTCTTCAATAGGTTTTCTTTCCACGACTTCAACGCCATCGCCTCCTTTTGTTTCCTCATGAGATCTGCGAGCCATAGCATATCTTGATGATATGCGAGTTTGATCCATCGTAAATGGGAGGAAAATTCGAAATTCAACAATTTTCATTCTAAATTTAAAATCAATCGAAAAACGGTTTGATTCTCTGTCATGTTCATTAATGATGATTTTTCATCTTTTGATTCCGATACAATTTTTTCTTCAATCGATCAAAATTGTAGAAAATCATATTATTCATTTGCAATTAGTAAAAAATACTCCAACATTGAACAAAACGACAATTTACCAACTGGCATAAGCAAAATAGGAATTTTTGTTAATGAAGAGATATTTTTAATCATGGGTCTTAGTCACTACAAAAGGAGTAATACAATACTAAATTAAACTCTTCTGAATGATATATTTATATATAAATCAAAGATATTATCGACTGACACAAAAAAAGCATAAACACATAATTTCATGCTAGAAACAATTATTTCGCTATATATTGTTGTAAACAGAAATTCATCAAAAGTGACACCTCAGAAAAGCTAAAATATTGAATTTTTGGAACTTTTGATAGAGCACGTTTTTAAATATTAATTAAAGTAAATGTATATTTTGTAAAGATTCTTTTTAATAAAAACTAAAATTTTGAAGAAGAACACAAAATCTTCTGAAAAATAATATCACATAAACTCATATTATTTTCTAATATATAACTATTTTATATAAAAATCAAATTCAATGATCTTAAAAGCGAAGGATAAACCTCAAAATTTACGAATATAATGAGTGGGAATATAATGCTTATCTATCATAAAACCATATGAAATATCAATTTTTGCTTTACGCCTAATTTTTGACGACAATTAGCAAAAAATGTTAAATGTTAACACTCAGTCCATTTGAATATGAAAAATAAAATTGACTTTGATTAAATGTTTTTATTTATCATGCAATTCTTCTTGCGACCAAAGATTTGAATAAAAGTTCAAAAAATAAGATAGCTTAAAAAAATAATACGTAGTGTTTACTAATAAAATAATATAATTCTATTAAAATGATTGATCCAAAAAAATATAAACCAAAATAATTGTTATAATTAAATGAAGAAGTAATTTAAAATAAGGGTTTCGTTTTGCGAAAAAACATACAATACGCAATTTCGCTAAAAACATTTAGCTAGTAATTTCGACCTTTGACTCCACTCAAGACGTCACTTTTTAATTTTGCGGTATCATATTTTTGGAAAATCTTTATGAATATTATATAAAAAGTCTCTTTAATATCTATATTTCATATTTTTATCGATTTTTTAAAGTTTTTGCGAAAAGTATTCAATTATTTTTGCTATTTGGTCGGGTAAATGTCGGATTTGCGACATTTTCTGATATGATATTCAGATTCTACGTTGATAATAATGCTTATAGAACCCTCTGCTATTGTGTCAAAATTGCGAAACCGATAGCAAAAATATCTCGCAATATCAAAATTGAGATATTGAGTGAATTATGCATTATAGAGATTAAAAATCTGATTTGTGAAAACATCTCATCAGTTTCTAGCTAATTCAAAAATCTTTACTATCTTATTCGATTAAAATGAAAAGGGAATAGTTTCATTATGCTTTAAATGACAGCCTTATAATATAATCATAGTTTTCGCTCAATATGCAGCATTTTTTTTTTCGAAATCTATGGTCAATATCCTAAATACTGATTGCTTTGCATTCATATCTCTTACATTTTCTATACCCACATCACTATTCATTGCTATTCCATCTTTTCTTTTTGTTTGTTTCTCATAATTTCTCAAAAAACATGATAACTTGATATTTGTAAATATCATACTTTATAACGTAAATAAGAACTTGACCTATTAAGAAAAGCAGTAATGAAAAGAAAATCTGAAATTCAATAAAAATTACAAGTTTCTGATGACAATTAGCTTAATTAAACCAGGTACAAGATTATATAATTGTATTTTATCCAATTATCCATATAATATCTTATCCAGAAAAAATAACTTGATCAATACCAAATGATTTTTTAACTAGTAAATAAAGTATTTTCTTTACACACACATTGTATATCATAGTTTTTTTTTTTTTTTTGGTTTCGCAAAACATCCAAAAACAAATATGTTATAAAAGTGACAATTTTAGCAAAACGAAACCTTTATTTAAAACGATTTGATTTATGATCAAATTTTATATATTTTTTTAAGCTATCTTATTTTTTGAAATTTTATTCAAATCTTTGGTCGCAAGAAGAATTGCATGATAAATAAAAACATTTAATCAAAGTCAATTTTATTTTTCATATTCAAATGGACTGAGTGTTAACATTTAACATTTTTGCTAATTGTCGTCAAAAATTAGGCGTAAAGCAAAAATTGATATTTCATATGGTTTTATGATAGATAAGCATTATATTCCCACTCATTATATTCGTAAATTTTGAGGTTTATCCTTCGCTTTTAAGATCATTGAATTTGATTTTTATATAAAATAGTTATATATTAGAAAATAATATGAGTTTATGTGATATTATTTTTCAGAAGATTTCATTCTATATGCCTATGAAAAGTACTCTCAAAACTAACTTTTCCTAATTATAATTAAATCTAGAATATTGTATGATGCTTAGTATTATTTCATTTTTCTCATTCAATTTAGAATTTACAAATGTCAAAAAATTGAGAACTGTCACTTTTGTTGAATTTCTGTTTATTACAATATTACATGAGATAATATGGAAAATTTCTCGCCAGCTCGGCTTTTTCAAAAACTTCGTTTACAAATCAGTAAAAATTATGGGTTATTTTCACTTCTACTCCATTATTTAGAATCTTCTAAACATACGTTAATATAAAATTAACAAAATTTGAATTAAACGTAACTTCAATATATAAAAGATCAATAATTCTATCAAAATATTTGAGGGCCTATTCAAACCCAATTTGAATGTAAATACAGTAATCGATAATAATTCGAATGAGTTACATTTCTCTTATTAAAAATTTTAAATTTTTCCAAAAATTTTAATCTCTTAATGAATTATCATTCTTATTTCAGCTAGAACCTAATTACATAAGAATTTATATATAATGTTAAATTGAATGCAAAAACTTTAATGAATTTTTGAAACAAACCGTAAATATTGAAAGATTAAAAATCTACTGGCTTTTACTTCACTTTTTAATAGAAACAATTATGCTTGTATCCTTTCTAATTTATTTGTCACGTAGCAAAGAGATAACAATAGTCAGTGAAACAGGTCTAAACTTTAATCAAGTTTATAACGCAACAGCTGGATTTTATGTTTACTATCCAAATTCTGGAAATTGTTGGGATCGTGGCATTTGCGTTATAAAAAATGTCTACGGAGGAACAATCCCATACAGGTGGTCTGGAACATTCAAGACCGACTTTGATATTCTTTATAATGGTGAATGGACAACATACCGAAGAACAGGCTGGTGGCCAGTTTTTGAAGTCGATAACAATGGAGTTCAAATTCCAATCCAAGGTGTCTTCGGTGGTGTAGCAAAGTCTTCTGGTGTTCAAGTACGAACAAAAGTTTCAAAACCGTTTGAAGATCTTGGACGTGCATCCAATTTCTTACTAATCGAATTCATGGCAAAATGCATTGATGGATATCCACATAAGATTTCAATTGCCACTTATGCAGATATTATGATTAGAGCTTCAGATAATGCCGATATTGTATGGTATGGGGAACCAGGACAGAAAAGAGGTTTCACTATGTATGATATAATGAATACAGGACGTATTTTCACAGTTATTACAAGACAAGCATATGGAGTTAATGATGTCGACAATTTATGGTTTGGCAATTGGGATTGGCGAGGAAATCTTCATTATTGGGAAGATAGAAGACCAAATGAAGGAAACTTCACAAATCATATAGATTCTGCTTTTTCACTTGGTTGGAAGAATCGCGATCTCTATCCTGATAATGGAGAAGTTTCCTTTGGTGTTCTTCTTGGATTAGGAAAGGGAATTGTAAAACCCCCAAGAGTTGAAGTTGATGAAACAAACTTTAAACATCTTTATAAACCCAAAGAAAAAATCAGTATCGATATCAAAGTTTACGATGAAGATAGACTTTATAACAGTACTCTTTATTACAATTTCAATGGAAAGAATAATAATTTTACAAATGTAACCTATGGGAAAACGTACACAATAAATAATATCACACTCGGAACTACTGGAAGATATTCATTTTATTGCTATGCAAAAGACACTGCAGATTTAGTTTCCAATAATTACACGAGAGACTTTTTGGTAGATGAAGCTCCAATTTTGACAATTCTTAATGGTCTTGCAGAAAAATATACCGATTCTGCTTCTTTCATCGTTCAAGGAAAGGTTTGGGATGACACATGGGCAGAACTTAAATTCAGAGTTGATAATAGCTTCTACTTCAGAATTGATAATGGATCACGATTAAATTGCTATAGATCAGAAAAACCATTTTTGAAAGAATTTAGTCTTCGCACCGAAGGAGTTCCATATGGATGGCATAGACTTTACATCTGGGCAGAAGATGAATATGGAATTAAATCTAATGAATATGAACATCGATTCGAATATGTCAAGATGAACCCTCCAAGTTTGGAAATCGTTCCAAATAATTATCCAACGGAATACTACTATGATCGAGAAATCGAAATTGAGTTAGCATATTATGATAAAGATGTTGGGGATACTTATACAATTTTCTACAGACCACCAACACTTGGCGATTTGGAATCTGATATTCAATTGTATTCCAATGTTTCTGATGGCCAGCGGAGAAAAATGAATTTCACATACAAGGTTCCAAGGTTATCAGAAGGTTCACACTTTATCAAATTCATCATCAAAGATGACAAAGGTCTTTCATCACCTTATAAAACGTTTAATTTCACAATGAAGTATTATCCTATTGCTACTGCTACAATACCAGAACCATGGAATCCACAAACAGTTGATCCAAGCTACACAGGAGCCCAAACACATTCTGAGACTTTCTTTCATTCATGCACTATTGTTTTAGACAGCAATGGAAATGATGCTTACTCATGCACAATAACAACGACATATATCTTTGTTGAAACTAATGCAAAGACACCAACACCATCAGCATCAACAATTGATAATGGTGCTTTCATAGAGTCAGGAGGAGGAAAAAGTAATAATAAAAAGAAGAATATTTATCTCATCATTGGCGTTGCTGCTGGAATTGTTGCGTTGGCTGCAATCATCGCAGGTATTATTATTGCAAAGGAGGCTGCAAAGCATGCTGCAGAGTTTGAATTTGATCCAGAGAAGGGCGAGTTCATTGAAGATCCTGGAGTTAGCCAAGAAAATGATAACCCAATATATGATGAAAACGCTAATGATGATCCATTCAAGAACGATTTCGATGAACAGCCAGAAGAAGCAAGTAATTTAATGGAGTAAAACTTTTGTCATCACCAAATTCATTTCACCATAAATAATTTTCATTCCATGCATATTCTATTTAATTTTTTTTAATTATACTTGAGATTTATGGCATTGAATGTATATGCCCTTGATTTCATTTTACCATATAATTATAAATTTGTTAATTCAAATTATGAAGCAAGAATTTGATTAAAGATATAAATTTGTTTTAAATCTATGGATAAATACATAGATTTAAGATTAAACTTAGTCAGGCTTGATTTTAAGTTTCATCCTTATGAATTTTCTTAATCAATCATTTACTTGAAATACAAAATGTTGAAATTGCAAAAAAAATATTTTGTTTAGATTACCAAAGAGGACAATTTTGGATAAATATTATATATAATGTTATCTCCAATAAATAATACGCATTTAATCATTTCTTCGCAATAAAAAAAAGTGAATGAGCGAGAAGAAAGGATCTTCATCAGATGAGCCTGAGATGATCGAAACAATTACTATCGAAGAATCTGATGAGAAGCCAGAAAAAGAGGAAGTCTCTGCTTTGAGGTTAACTGAGTATCCAGAGCCAGATTTTCTTGGAGATGGCATATTAGGAACTGATGGAAATACATATTATCAAAAAGTTGATTCAGAAGGAGTAGTTATTCATATTAACGATTCAGTTTTAATTTTAACGGATGATAAACAATATATTAGAAAAGATTTCATGTATTGCGGCAAGATATTACGTTTCTGGAGAACGCCCGGAGATAACAGATACTGTTTAATCAACTGGTATTGGCGTCGTGCAGAAGTTCCTCCAGAATCAAGAAGTTTCTTACTCCAACGCGAACTTCTTCTTTCTGAGAAGACAGATATCATTCCTGTCGATTCCATTAAATCAACCATTAAAGTTTACGAGACTCCTGAAGCTCTAGGTCCAGATGCGAATAAACCAGATGAAGTTATGACGAAGGAATTCTTCTGCAACCGCGGTTTCCTTGTTTCTCGTCAAGAATTCGTTGCACTCGGCACCATTACGCGCTTAATGAAGCAAACGGAAGACGTTGTCGAAAGAGTTGAAGGATTTTCAAAATACGATATCGCTAGAGCAAGATTACAACTCAGTAACGTCACAAACGTTGCTGGAAGACTAAACGAAATCGACAAAATCAGTAGAACTATCGCCAGATTTTTAACTCAAAAAGGACGTGGAGATTGCCTTTATATCTCCGGAGTTCCAGGTACAGGCAAGACTCTTTGCGTCCGTGAGGTAATGAAGCGTCTGGCAAGAGACCAATTGAACGCAGACGTTATGGAATTTGATTATTACGAAGTTAACTGCTTACGACTTGAATCTCCCAAAGATATATTCGTAGATATGTGGTACCAGATGGCTGGCGAGAAATTAAACTCAATAGCCGCTCAAAGAGCTTTAAATGACGTATTTACAAATGATCCACCGCAAAATTACATCATTCTCCTCATCGATGAAGTCGACGTACTTCTTACAAACCAACAGAACGAACTCTACTGCATTTTGGAGTGGGCAGGCCTTCCAAAGTCGCATTTCATCATTGTTTGCATCGCAAACTTGATGGATCTCGACGCAAGACTGAAGCCGAAGCTCGCTTCAAGATTCGGAAAGACAGCTGTCAAGTTCTATCCCTATAAATACGAAGAATTAAAGGAAATTATTAATTCTCGTGTCGGGGAACTTGGAGTTTTCGATGATCCTGCAATAGAATACTGCTCAAAACAAATCGCTAACTTCGGTGGCGACGCTAGAAAAGCTCTAGAAGCTTGCAAACGCGCACTCGATTTAATTCCTGTTAATAACCAGGATTCAGACAAAAATACTACAAGAAAGAACAACGATAAGGTCGTTCTTTCCGATATGATTGCTACAATCAGAGAATTACAGGCAACAAGATCATTAACCTTGTTATCTAAGCTTTCTGAGCAACAACAGATATTCTTAACCGCATTCTTAATGGATATGAGACTTACTACCCGTACTGTTATACCTGTCCGCGATGTTTGCAGACGTCATAAAATTATTCAGACACAACTCGAGGTACAATTCCCAATTTCACAGCAGGCAATGCTTGTAATTGCTAACCAGCTTGTGGAAATGCATGTAATTAAGGGAATCAAAGAGTTTAATATACATGAAAACACAATGATTACTTTGATGTGTATGGAACACGATGCTCTTGCAGCATTGAATAAGGACGAAAGATTTGCTAGATTTATTGGTAATGTTAATCCTGTCTAAATTATATTTATTATTTATTTTTTTTATTAATTCAAAATACTTTTTACACAATACCTAAATTTGAATTAATGCATTCAATAATAACATTATTATAAAAAGCAAATTCAATAACATTACTAAAGGATTCAATAATGAATTTTCTCTATTCGGATTTCATTTAGTATTTATTAGTAATGTTATTCAATTTGCTTTTTAAATAGATTATTATTCAATAATGAATTTTCTCTATTCGGTATTATTATTTGGATTATTGAATTTGCTAGATTTATTGGTAATGTTAATCCTGTCTAATACTTTTTACACAATACCTAAGTTTTATGCTCTATTCGGATACCATTCATTTTAAATGAATAACAAGCTTGAAAATTGCGATGCAGATTTCTGTATACTGGAAGTATCCAAAACTTCAATATCATAGAATTAAAAACTTTAGTATATACCCTACTTATATATATATTTCAATATCATTAATATCTTTACTGCAAATGAAGAGCAAACAATATTCATATGAAAAATAGATTGGAAATAAGAATATTATTAATTTTATTATAATTATCCAATCGGATTAGATTATGTTAACTTGGCCCCAATAGACATAAGATAAAAAATTACCTTTATACTTGCAACTGAGAGTGCAGTCTTTCCATCTCTAGTCTTTGAATTTTTATCAGCTCCAACAGAGATAAGATATTGAACAACTTCAAGATGACCATTGAATGATGCAAACATGAGTGGAGTCCATCCAGGATTATCCTTTGCTTCTTTATCAGCTCCAGCAGAGATAAGATATTTAACAACTTCAAGACCACCATATTCTGATGCTTCAATGAGTGGAGTATATCCAAGTCCATTCTTTACATCTTTATCACAACCACATTCAATAAGAGATTTGACAAGATTAAGAATACATTTCTTTACAAAAATTCTGGAAAAAAATTAAAATTAAAAATGCTCTCATTTGAAAATGTATATATGAAATTTCATTTCAAAATGTATTTTGATAACCAGCATATCATGTGATTTAATGTCTGATTGAGTTGAATAAAGTTTGGTGATCTGTAGTGTGAAGATATATATTTACTACATTCCTTTAGACCAAAAAATCGAATTTGATAAATAATTTTGATGGTATACTTTCAATTCCCAAATAATCATTTAGTGCTTCAGTTGTAACACCGTACAACTTATATCTTTTTCAGCAAATGCAACTTCTTACGCTTGAATTTTTTCATTCAAGAAACTAGCAAAATCTTGTAAGTTCTCAAAATGGATGAAGAGTTCTCCGATAAAGAAGAAATGATGATCGAATCAGTCGGCCCTAGTCAGCAAATTAAAACACTCAGCAACAGTTGCCATCAAATCTTACGAGAAAATGAAATTCTTTTACAAAGATTATACAATTATCAAAATTTGCTATCTAGCTCAATGGCAGATCAATGTGCAAAAAACGAAGATACTGTTGACAGCGCTGATAAACTCAATTTTGTCAAAATTTCAATTCCAATTGAGACTCCACCATTTCTTGATTAAATTAAAGCCAAGTACAGCACAGTGTAATTTATTTGTTGCATAAGTTCTTAATCTTTATGAAAAAATTATTGTAATTACGAAATTTTAATATAGTCGTCGATCTTATTAATGCGTAGGGTTGTTAAAAATATCAAAAATTAGCGTTTTGAAGACACCATGGTGTCTTATAATTTTCCCTTCCTTATTGGCGTGTAGAAATAAATGCGCCAATAGATTGAAGAAGAATTGTTTTTCTCTTAATGAACTTTAATCCTTTTGATATAAGAATATTAAAAACATTAATATAATTTCGATTTCGGAAATTAAATTTCCAAATTTTTTGTCGATTTCGGAAATAACAGGATCCCGCATCCAACACGCAACAACAAAACACAAAACACACTTTTTGGTTCTTTCATCGTTTTAATCGTAATTTATGTAATATATGATTTGGATAAATTTTACAAAAATAGAACCTATATTATATTCTTTTCAAAGATTCTTGCAAATCATCAAAAATAATTGTATTTTAAAAAACGATCAAATTATCCTTTCATTATTTTAAACTTAAATTAGTTTTTATGATTGACTAAAGCAATCATATTTATTCATCATTAAATAAACAAAAAAATAATATTTGAGAGTTATTTCAAAAAAAACACATTGAATTTATTAATTTGTCTCAATTTCAGTATTATAAATTTTTATAATTTCAATATTTTGAAATACACTTTTTAATATTTCAATATTTATGATATTTCAATGTATTAAGTGGTCTCAAATTGAGCTTCTCAAATATAAGTTGGCCTATTCAAATAATAAAATTAAATAATATTTAAAATAATAAATAAAAGTGATTGAGGTCATAGCAAAACGGCTGTTTCAGTCATTAATTCTTAAAAATAAAAAGGGTAAAAACTAAATACAATGGGTAAAATTCAATAGTGTCTGTGCTATCGTTCAATTTGAAGGTGTCTTTTGAAACCACAAGACACATTGAATTTTTGAATGTTGTATTATGGTTTGACAGACACCAATGAAAAAAATAAAATGATATTTATTTTAAATATATAAGATCCTTATATAAAATATAAATATTTCATCGTTTTATTTTCTTGTTTTAGAAATGTTTTTTATTGAAAAATCAATAAAACTAACTCCAAAATAAAATTTTTGATTTAAAGACACTATGATGACACCAGGCAAATCTTCCAAGACACCTATCGTCAGGAATCTAACAACCCTATTAATGCGTTACTCATACAGAAATGTTCTATAGTATATTTACTTGAGATATAGATAGAAATCAGCTTTATTTTAAATAAAAATTAAAAATTTCTTTTTCATAATAAACACTTGCTTTAAAATTTGTTATATAGGAAATTCTTCTTGAGTTTATTCTTCATAAGTTTGTTTTATTTTTGAGTTAATGAAATAAAAGAGATTTTTTAGGTCTAATGGCAGTTTCCATTTTATTGATATTTATGATCATATTTGTACTCTTAATAAATTGTACATTGCATTATAGAACTTGATTGAGAAGAATTTCTGAGGTTTTCTCACTGTTACATTTTATTGCAATATCAAGAGCTGTATTACCATTTTTATCTGTTATATTAATGTTTGCAAAATGTGAAAGTAGAATGTTTGCAATTTCTGAATAATCCTTTTCTGCTGCAATATGAAGTGCAGTTTTACTTTCATAATTAGTCAGATTAATATCTGCTCCAGAATTAATGAGAAGATTTACAACATCTTGGCAATTTTCCATTGTTGCTTTATGAAGAGGACTGTTCCCATCGTTATCTTTTGTATTTATATCTGCACCACGTGAAAGGAGAAGATTTACAAAATCTTCGTAATTTAAATACACTGCAAGATTGAGTGCAGTTTGTCCACGAATATCTCTCCCATTTATATCAATTCCATGGGAGATAAGAACATCTGCTGTTTCTATGCTTTTATATCTTATTGCCCAGTGAAGAGCAGTCATGCTATTATTACTCATTTTTTCATTGATATCTATTCCATGTGAAATAAGAAATTCTACTGCTTCGCTGCAATTAAATGTTATTGCAAATTGTAATATAAAAAGATTGAGCTCTTTACATCTTGCATTAATATTTGCACCATTTGAAAGGAAATATTCCCAAAGTGAAGGAAGATTTAAACCTGTTGAATATACAAGACAAGTATCAACATCTTTTGTAACATCGAAATATGCCAAAAATGCTTCAAGATTGTATGCATACATATAAATCCATTGGCACTTGATGTTGCTGGAAAAGATACATGACAAAGTCAATGTTGTGCGAAAATATTGCATATCTCATGCTGTTCTGACCTGGTTTCAGAGATTTCAAACATTCATTTAAAATCTCAGAATTTCCGCTCGAAAATGCCAAATCAAGACAGTTTAGAGTGATATTTGGTTCTACTTTTGTCAATAGCAACTTAAAACAATCAACAGAACCATGATAGCAGCATAATTCGAGTAAAGATAGACCCAAAAATGGATATAGTTCGCTATCTAACTCGTAATATTCATCAAAATCTTCTTTTTCAATGAAAAATACAAATGATTTGTAATCATTATTCATTATAGCTCTGGCTATTGTGTTATCTTTGTGGACATACGAAGAATAACCACTTGATTCATATTTTTTTAATTCTTCGAGATGTTCTTCATCATAAACAATTCCATAATCTTCCAATAAAAGGTATTGGTAAACGGGCCTGATATCATCCGCTGGTTTCGGATGATATTCTTCTATAATTCTTTTTATAATTGTTAGATACGATCGCAAGTAGCGATTTCTAAAAAGAGCAACATGATCAAATATTTTTAGAACTTTACTTGCAGTTAAAATCTTTGTTTCGATTATTTTGTTCTTTATATCTTGATAAAGGCCTTCAATTTCTTTATCATCGAAAGTATTAAGGCGATATATTTTATTCATTGTTTCGATGTAATTCTTATTTGACTCCATTAATTCTTGATTCAACATTTCAATTGATAAAAATTATTTTCAAAATGTCAAAAATAGGTTTTTTATAAGAAAATGCTTTTTTTCGGAGTATCAATTGTGTTCTATCATTCAGAAACTTGATGGAATACAAGTGCTCCAATAGAGATAATAGGTATATCCATTTCATTGTATCTACAAGCTCCCATGTTGAAATTGATGTCAAATTCATTTTTAAGGATACCCTTACGTGTCAGATTTTTTGCGCATACGAAGAAGTCATGCTAGACATGAGCTATAAACCTGAAATTTTAGCAACATATTTAAAACTTTTTAAACTACAATACACTTTAATATTCAAGAACAAAAATATTCTTTTTAGAAATTACATAATTATTTTATGTGAAATCTATATAAAAACATATTTTGCGAGCGTAACTTTTTTCTTTATAAGCACCTTATATGACTGATAAACTGTGAAGGCACATAATTGTTAATTCATAGAGTTGATATGTTTCCAAAATTGAGAGGAAATTTGAAAATTGAATACCCTTTCAATTCAATTTTCAAAAGATATCAGCTCCTTCAATAATTGAAGGACGATTTTGATCATTTGCTCTTAAAACAAGTATGCCATGGAGAAAAAAGTTACGCTCGCAAATCTGAAATATAACTATCATATAAAAAAATTAAATTTCTAATTTTTTACTCTATAGATATTATTGGCCACTTGTGTAATGCATAAAAGTTTATGTCATATGCATACATTTGGAAGTATGGGAGACGAGGGAAATTACTTCTATGAGGCACTAGGATTTTTAAAAATTTCTCTATCGGACTCACCGTTCAATTTCTCGAAAATTAAAAAAAAATCAATAATAGCTAAAATGTATTATGCATAACAAATTTTAATGTTACACGGTATTTTTTGAACTTCATGACATGAATTTTCTTTATATTATTTTTTTTTTTGGATTTTCTATGATTTATGCGATAGGCTGGAACAAAATTGTAAGTGCAATGATATCATTTATAGAGAAATCTAAAACTTCAGCATTCAGAACTCGCAACCACAAAAATATTCATTTGCTAAGTAAGTAAAGTTGATTAAGTTCGACACTTAGCTTTTATACGTAAAACCAAGTGTGTATTGTTATTTCTTGTTAAATTATTGAGAAAAAAATAAATTGTAAGAGAAACGATACTGATTATTGAAATAATATTGAGGGTAGCTGCAGATTTCTTCATTAACATGCCGGAAATTTGTTAATCTTGGTTTTCTATCATAAAATCTGTCGAAGAATCTAAAAACGGAGATATGAAATAGAGATCATGTAAATCTAGAGTATCCTGTCAGAAAAATAGACTAAGCATGTAACCCTTTTTTGGTCATAAACACTTTTTACCACTTAGTCATACAGATGATCATTAAATTTAAACGAGCACTTTTTGTCAGAATTTATTCTTTTACAAAGACAGAAGATTTTAGTATTATTTAAAAAAAAAAAAAAAAAAAAAAAAAAAAAGGTAGTGGGGCTTCCAGGGGCTGCGCCCCTTCTAGCCCCGAAGATGTTTAGTATAAAATGAGGTTTTTATTCGGAAAATTGTTAGTCTTCTGGTGTGAATTCGGAGGACTCTTCGTGTTTCTCTTCTTCGTGTTTCTCTTCTTCTTCCTCTTCCATTGCTTCTGGGAAGAAGTCTTCTTCTGGGTCGAAAACATTATATAATGTGTAATTGAATGACACATTATATCTTTGTTTGAGTTCGCTCTTGACAAAGAACTTAGTTCCAGGAATACAGAAGACTTCTGTGCGTTGGAAAAGCTGATGTCCTGGAACAAATTTGGCAATTAGAGACTTCTTTTTTCCGAATTGTTCAGGAGTTTCCATGACGACAGTAACAACATCTCCATCTGCGAGGTCTTGTTGTTGTTCGGAAAGGTAAAGAGCAATGATATAAATGGTTGCTGCGTTGAATTCGAGAAAGTCGAATTCAAATTGTGTTGTCGTATAGCATTCAAACCATTTTGTACAGTTGTCTCCGAACTCGTCAACGTATTCATCTTGGTCATATCCGTAACTAAAGACTTGGAATTCGGCAATTGTCTTGTCGAATGACCGTTGGATGTAACGAGGAAGATTTTGACGAACTTGGTATAAAGTTCTCAACATTATAAGCTTAGTAAATGTTGGAAAATACTGAACTAAGACATCGCTAAGCTCAATTGGACTTGGAATTGTCTTAGTAAGTTCAATTGAACTAGCAATTGCTTTGTTCAGAACTTCACAGAACTGAGTATTGTATATAGCGTCTGGTTGTGTGTTTTCTTCGGCGTCTTTGAGATATTTAGAGCAAATTTGTTGAAGAATTTCTCTTAATTCGCTGTTAGACTTTTTGGCGGTTATTCTAACAGCTGTGCCAGTTCTTGGAGGTTGTGGGGCTTTGGCTTTGGTTAGCGGTTGAGAATTGTTAATGTTGGCTTCCATTAGACAAAAATAAACTGTTTTTTTCGGACTACTCATAGAAAAGTTTAAAATAAACCGTTTTCGTCAACGGTAACCCCCTCTATTTTTTTATTTTATTTAATAGTTACCGTTGGCAAACCGTTCCATCTCAAATATTGAATGAACTATAAACGTTTTTTGTTTTCTATATATACTTTTTTGTCCAACGGTAAAACTTTTTACACAACGGTTTTTGAGAGTCGTCGCTGTTGACTTTTTTGTAGAGCACTCAAAATAGTATAACTTTGTCCTGACAAGTAAGGGTCTATCGTCGCTACAGGAAAAGTTACAGGCGTTCCAAGGAAGTATACTTTGAGAAGCCTTTTCTCCCTTTTAAAACAAGATAGGACGGTTATTTTACAAAACTGTCAACACTTTGACCGAGTAGTTTTTTGTGCTGAACAAAAAGTGTCATATAAACATCTGTCAAAAACCGCTTTTTAACTTCACTTAAAATGCCACGTAAGCTACGTAAGAATATACGTAAGAGGAAGAGAGCATTGAAACATCCAATAGTAAAACTAACACCACAACAACAGTTGCAACAACAAATGCTGAATGACCCCACTATGTTGCAACAAATGTCAAGCAATCCTATGCTTTTAAACCGAGTCATTGGTGCACAGAGTGGAGGTTTAAGAGCGGGACTTTTAGCGAAAATGGCAGGCTATGGTGGAGCTGCAGACGGAACAGCCTATAACCCTCAAAGTCAAATGAATTTGAGTTCACTCAAAAATCAAATAACAGATGTCAAAAAGTCAAACATAGACATACAGAAGCAAATAAGTGAAAACGAAAAGAAACTAGAATATGACAGACACACAAAGAAACTCAATGAGTTAAACGTAGAGAAAAAGAAGAAAGAAGAACAACTGAAAGAACTAAGTACAGAGGAATATGCGAAAAAAGTGTCAGAAAAAGCAGCAGAAGTAGCAAAAATGGAACAAGATGTCATAAATTTGAAAAACCATACTACTCAATATAAAATACTGAAAGATGAAGAAATAAAACAAAAAGCCCTGAAGACATATATGGATAGCGATGAGTATAAAAAAGAAGTTGAAGCAAATGTAAAGGCAGAAAAACTTTTACAGTTGCAAAACCAAACCGTACAGTATGAAAACTTAGCACAAGAAAGTAAAAATAACGACGCAGCCATGCAAAAGGCAATGAAAAGCGCAGAATATATAAAAGCTAACAATGACTGGTTAGATGCCCAAGCCAACGCTAAAGCAGCCCAACTCATAGGGTCAATAAGGACAAAAATACAAGCGGATGAAGATAGTTCAAATGAAGCTTTAACAAATGCTGACTTTAAGAACGCCTTCGAAGCTCTTCATAGTAAGGTGAAACAAGTGAACGACTTCTCATCTGGAAAGAAACTGAAGTCTGAAGGTTTCGACAAAGAGTTAAGAGAAGTAGCACAAAATATGACGAAAATAACAGATGCAGCAACGAGACAGGCAGTTCAAAGTGCCTATGACGCCGTTAGAGCAACTGTTGTGAAAAGTCAAGAAAAAGAGTTACAACAGACCAAAACAGACCTAGTAAATGCTTTCTTAAAAACGAAAAGTCAGGTAGGACATTATGCTGCAGATGGAACATATGTGCCAGCTGGTGGAACTTATATACCAGCTGGTGGAACTTATATACTAGCTAGTGGAACCTATATACCACCAAACCCTCCAGAGAAGCACCTGCACCAGGACTACCTAAAACATTTACATCGTCACATGGACACAGACACAGGCATGCACCAAAACCAACACAACAACCAACAGTTC